GAGAAGCATTTCAAAACTGATGCTCCAAAGAATGTTTCAAATATCTTATTCAGAGTTTAATCTAAGCAGGCGAATCTGAACAGGGAATGGAGGACACTTAGCACTTTGCATCATCTCCCTGTTACAAACAGAGGCACAGAAACTAAAACAATGTGCCTAGGGTTACACAAAGTCAAGGCACAGCTGGGAACAGAAGTTAGGTCCTCCTGCCACACAATCCACTTCCCTGTGCACCAACAGGCAGGAGATGGCGGCTAGTGCATGGTACCAGAGGTGCAGTCACCACAAAAGCGTCTCGTGGATCTTTTGTACAGAAGATGGTTTGCTTTTATAAATCTCTGGTCACCATTAAAAGACCAATCACTCCTGACAGTGGTAGCGGTCACAGAGCTGTTACTGCTCACGGTAAATCATAGGGAACTACTGCAGTAACTCAGCTAAGAGAGCATGGTGACAGCTGGCAAATTTTGCTGTTTTAATGGTGACCATCACAAGCTCAGCAAGGGGCTCTAGGGACAGCAAACCACAAAAGAGCTGGGATTAATTTCCTGTAATTAATTTGATAACTGGATGAATTTTATTTCCCACACACAAGATTCCTGAGACTCTTCTTAGGACAACTGTTTGACTCAAACATTTCTATTTAACCAGTTCCAAGCTAATGGAAAATTGTAGTCATTAAGTGTTTTCTTTAAAAGGGAGGTAATTTGAACTAGTTCCCAGAATGCTCCTGTCACATTTGTATGCATGCACTAATTAATACTACTTTGCGCTCACATAGTGCTCACTGGATCTCCAAGACCCTTTACAAACTATGAATTAAGCCCTACAACAGACTTGCCCAGATGGGGTAACTGAGATGCAGAAGAGTTGGGTGCTTTGGCTCAAGGTCACAAAGCCAGATCTCTGGGCTCGCACTCCTGGGACAGATCCACAAGACCATTCTCTGCTGCTGTACTGTTCATACAAGTCATACAGTATCCATCACGTGTTATTGATGAGCGAGTGTGCAGCATGTGCTCTACAGCTGTGAATCTTGTTATTCGGACGTTTCCTATTACATCAGAACTCAAGACAATGCCCCCTCTTCAGGTCCCAGTGGCATTAAGAGCCAAACTGCCCCTACAAGTCAAACTGCCACAGCCTTCAAAAATACTTCTCTGTCCCCTCCTAAGAAGCGAGCACACAGCCTAATCTTCCTGATCACTCACTGCACACAGCAAACCCGTGTGCCCTTGATTTGACTCTTCCCATAAGTCCGACCTTGTTTTCAAAATCTCCCTGCTGCACAGGTTGGTCTTCAGCAGTAAGACAGCCCTCCAGAGAGGATAGCTAGCGGATAGCACTTGCACCTGAGCAAGGCTGGGCCAACCAACATCCTCCCCCATCTGTAACAGCCCCAGTGCACTCTAGTGGAAATCGAGAGAGGAGTCTGGCTATCTGCTCTGGACGGTGCTGGCGAAACACCAAAGACAAGAGCTGGGGGAATGAGAGAGAAAAAGGGAAAGGGCTTTAGAGGAAGACCTCATACTTTGCTGGTGGTGACCAACAACTGAGGCAAAATGCTCCAAAGCTCTTAGGGTCTAGAGGCAATGACCAAGCAGGTGAAGGACTGGCCACATACCCAGGAGCAGGGCTATTCTTTGTGGACAGGGAAATGCAGCTGATGCCCAATCCCTCTCCAAGTGCAACAGTGGATTAAAGACAGTGGTTGTGTATAAATGCCCCCTCTCACTCAAGACCTGCTCCTTGGGCACCTTCTGGCCAGTCTCTCACTGTCCTGACAGCAAACTGATACAATCCCTGCAAAGCCAGCACAGCTCTGGAAGAACAGTGTCTCTCAGCTATCATCAGCCTACCCATTACATTCTGACCATAGATGAGGCAAATGACCAGAGAAGAGGCAGTCACCACCACTTTCCCTTTTGATCCCAGACCTGCCTCTTCCTTCTGTCTCCTTCATTGTCTCCTTCCTAGAAGGCAAGAAGAAAGCAGAGGCAGTGGAGACAGGAGGCCTGAGATATCTGCAACTCTGTCCCCTGCATGCTGGAAGCATAAACAGCTGAGAAAGGGACAGACCAGGGATAGACTCCATCAAGATCTTGCTTCCCACTTCCCGAAAGTGGAAGCCACATGCTGAAATAGTCAAGGCTACTGCAAGTGGAAAAGAAGGGTGATGTACAAACAAACAGACTAAGCACTGCAGACGTGATGCGGAGTCAGCAAAGGTAGTCACAAACTTCCTGACATCACACTGCTGGTGGATGCATCAACCCATAAATGAAATGGGAGTTCCCTCTCAGGGTCCCGTTGACCCATAACTTCTCTGCTCAGATTGCCCACAAAGGAGCACTAGTGGATGTGAACAAGCAGCCACTGGGAAATTGACAGGAGTTTTTGATTCAAATGGGCAACAAAGATGAAGGGCTTTTCTCCATCTCCCACCTCTTTCCAGATGATCCCGATATACAACAGCAGGGTATCAGCGTGTGTACAAGGGAGTTTGGTTTCATGGCAGAAGGAAGAGGCAGCTCTGTTACAGAGGAATTAATCTCATTAGGAGAGACTGAAAGGCCAAATACACCAAGCCTTTTATCCACAGATAATCCCACCTGCATTTGTCAATACAACCACAGACATGCAAAGGGGCTGCTGGATGTGCTCTGAAGTAGCCCTGCCTTCAAGCCAGATAACAAGGAGAGCTTCATCCATGAAGACCGGTCCATTTTCTCCCAAAACAACTGGAAAAGAGCTACTAAATTTTAAAGCAACAGTGTGGGAATTCTGCTCTGGAGCAGCTCTCATTAATGGAAGAGAAGGTGCCTCCTTCCCCTTTCCAGTCCCACACACAGCTCCAAAGCAAGGCCATTTGATAGTCCATCAGTAGTCATATTCCTGGCCTGTTCTCACTGTGCTCAGCTTCTCTATGCTGGTCCCTTAAACCTTTTCATCTGAGTGAAGCCAGCGCAGACACTCTCCAAAGAGCTACCTGGTCATTGATCTACGGTCCCCTTGCGTTCCAAGGGGCAAATGTCACAGCTTGTTGCAATGCAGCAGGTCATTGCTCCCAGAACAGTGGCACCAGGAAAGTTGTTTTCTTTTAAAGAAGCCAAGTATCAAGGACTCTACCCTGGTGCTGACACATCACAAAGGGAAACACACATGGCCCTGTGTTCCCAGTACCCTCTCACCCAGTCCCTGTAGCCTGAGTGTCACCCCTGACATCACAAAGGGAACACACATGGCCCTATGTTCCCAGTACCCTCTCACCCAGTCCCTGTAGCCTGAGTGTCACCCCACTCCCTGCAGTAGAGTCCATTCACAGTGATCTCCAGTGGTTAGTGTAAACATCCCCCCTTCACAATAAAGCTTAATTCACTGTGGATTGTCTCTCACCTACAAATTGTAACGTTAACCTTCCCACTCTGCGCTGGCATCTCTCTGCCAGCAGGGTTGGAGGTTAAGCCACTGGGTTGCTCCCATGCCCCACAGCAATGACGGGAAGGGACAGCAGATACACTTGATTAACATGCATGGTCATCTGCTTGCCAGTCAGGACGTGGAAGCATACTAGGAAACGGTCTGGAAAATCTGCTTACTATTGTAAGGAAGGGACAGCCAACATAATAAAAGGACCAGTCTCTTCAATTACCACCAGATACCAAAGCTTTTATCATGGAAGACCAACTCTGCCTGAACTTATAGTGACCTCAGATATGCTGGCATAGGCCTTGCGTGACAAAGATGGATGACAGACAAATGCTAGAGTTTAGCAATTTCAGATAATGTCAGTCACAGATATAGGGATCTTATGAACCACAGATGAACACCTTCTTTGGTTGGTGAGACTAGCCACCTTACAGGTGACCTACAAAGTGCAAACAATTGCCTTTGTGGACTTTTTGATTCTTTTTATGGGTGAATAAAGCTTGGTAGCTTTAGTATGAACTCCAGTCACTCTATCATCCAGGCGTGGATTCCTTCCAGAGTCCTGCCCTTGCTTAATTGTTCAGACAGGGGAAAACATGCACTTTCATCCCAAGTCAATATTTTGACTATGACTTCTAAGTATTGTGCAAAGACACACAAAATGGGTGCCAGCCTGGGAAGCAGTGCACAGAAATGGCTGTGCTGTGTCCATGGCAGAAGTCAACCCCCACTGGATGAACTTCAGTGCACACACAGGCATTGCCAAGGCCCTGAGCACCCAGCCAGCTACCTTCTTGTACAAGTGAGGGGACTGTTTTCAGAAACACAAGATGGAAGTGGAGCTCTTAGAACCAAAATATGAGCGCTCTCTCCCCCCTACCTGGATATGAGAATATTCCTGCTCCCCAAAAATGCCTGGTTTAGGAACACTGTGCACACTGGCAATGCTACTGCAAGGCTCCTTGTTAAGAGTCTCCTTTGCCAACACTACAGTGCAAGATCAACCTGCACATCTTTCTAGGTGGAAACTCCTTCAGGTATGCACCACCTAAAGGAAATTAGCTTGAGATTTCAGGATGCACCAAAACAACTGCTCTCTTCCAACAAGCAGCACTGCTTCCTCAGTGGTGGCATGTGAATCCACGAACATCAAGGGTATGCAAATCATTCAACCCTGGCTCTGGACGGCCTCACCACCCTAGTGGGGATCAGATGATGAAGTAATACTTCAGACAGGACCGTCACAGAAATTAGAGACCATAAAAGCAAAGACCATGTCCCAGTTGCCTAACGATGGCACAAATGTGCTACTGGGGCCATCATAAACTTTGGCCCAGTCAGAATGGAGACTGTTGAACTTTTTACCCGCCGCTCAACCTCCAAGATAAAAACCCCTTGGTCTATTAACCTTGAATCTAGGTATCCCATGCTGCAGCATCATGCACCTTTGAAGATGTCTTCCCATTTTGGGATGGGCAGGAGGGCAAGAACCCAGTGCCTCTCCCCTTCATACTTCCCACGGTAAGAAATGCTTTTCCAACTAGCAAAGCAACTTGATGGAGCTAAGAAGCTATTTAAAACAACAAAGTAAGCACTTTATTTCCATTAAGCATGTTGTTTTAGTATCACAATGGAATGATGAGGAAACATTAAAAAACCCTCAAGTTTCTAAATCCCTGAAAATAGCAGGGAGGCTTCAAGGCAGTTTAAAACAAAAGGGAGTGACACAAGTGCCGAACTAGTCCCGACATCACAATTCTCCTCCAAGAGCAGGGCAGGGGCGGGAAGGTGGAATGATGCGAAGGTGCGAATGTCTGAAGTAGTCTTTGGCGTTTCTGCCTCATGATTGACACACACAAGATTTGTCAAGACGACTCACTGAAATCTCTGGACGCAACAAAGTGCTACATTAGTAAAACAAGAACCCAGCAAGATGACTTTTCATATGATGGGAATGCCCTACGGTTGGCGTTAAGACGCATTCTTGCGGGCAGTGCTGCTGACTCAGTGGGGAGGCTTCTGGGTTGGGTAAGGAAGCATGGTGGTGCGTGAATCCAAGAACATGTGCCCATGCACAAGACACTGCATCATCCTCGAGTACTGACGAGAGCAGGGAGGAGAGGAAGTGGTGACAAAAGAAGTACAAATCCATTCTTTACAGTGATCAATACGAGTCCAGTGCAGAAACTATAGCTTCACAGTTCCAGGTGGCAAACTGTCATTGCAGAGCCTGTAGTAGCGCAGGTCATTCACCAGTCTGTGCACGTTCTGGGTAAAAGATGGCAGGTCCTGGAGAAAGATCAAGCAACACAGTTACAGTGACAATGGAGTAGGGCCTGCAAGTACCGGTTTTACCACAGAGAGCAGTATTTGGCATTGTCCTAGTAAATCAATGAGCAAAGACAAAAGCCCCTATTTATTTCACCTGTAATCCAGTTCTCCCGTAGATGCCAGAAGAATACCTTATGGCAGTTCCCCCCCAGTTTGATCCCAGGGCAAATCCTTGATGTAAATATGCTCTTATTGAAATCTCATATTAAGAGAAGCCACTTCTCTGCCTGGAATAGTGCTTCAATCTAATGGCTAGTTATTGAGAATGGGGTTGCCTGCAAGAGAAGCTTGAAAATCCTGGGTTTTATTTACAGGACTGATTTCTTAGTGTGCCTAGGCACACAGAACATGAGCTGGTATCATCTGGCCAGGGGAGGAGCCATCTGCTGGAACAGCAACCTGGGTGCTTCTTTGCAGTGGAGCCACACAGGGCAATTCCCAAGTTTCCTAGTGTGACAGGACACATGGAAGCAAAAACTCCTATTTTCCAACTGCATTTTGGCTATATTAGAAGCCAACAAGGAAATCAAGGCTATTAGCCAGGATGGGCAGGGATGGTGTCCCTAGCCTCTGTTAGCCTGAAGTTGGGAATGAGTGACAGGGGATGGATCACTTGATGTTAACCTGTTCTGTTCATTCCTTCTGGGGCACCTGGTACTGGCCACTGTCAGTAGACAGGATACTGGGCTACATGAACCTTTGATCTGACCCAGTAGGGCCATTCTTATTTCTTCCAGGTTTCCTGCCTCCCTCCATACAAATCCCCTTCTAGATCAGGAGCACCCAAAGGCCATGTGCGCTCCCAGGAGCTTGGAAGTTGGTCTGTAATCATTGCCAGGTATATTTCATAAGTAGGGCTGTCAATTGCAGTTAACTCATGCAATTAACTAAAAAAAACTGATTACGATTTAAAAAATTAATCACGATTAATTGCACTGGTAAACCATAGATTACCAATTGAAATTTATTAAATATTTTGGATGTTTTCTACATTTTCATGTATATTGTATCCTGTGTTGTAATTGAAATCAGTGTATATTTTTATTATAAATATGATAAACAAAAGAAACAGTTTTCAGAGTGGTAGCCATGTGAGTCTGTATCAGCAAAAAGAACGAGGAGTACTTGTGGCACCTTAGAGACTAACGCATTTATTTGAGGATAAGCTTTTGTGGGCTAAAGCCCACTTCATCAGATGCATGCAGTGGAAAATACAGTAGGCAGATATATATATATATATATATATATATTACGTGATAGACCCAGGCAAGTTGGGTACAGCAGAGTAGCAGAAGGCAGATATACTGGCCACTGGATAAGCAGTTTCTGTTCCCTGACTGACCAGAGCAGGGGCTGTTCCAGGCTAGGGTGGGCACATAACTCCAATTAGCCTGCAAAGAGTCAGGTGAGGCTGTTAAACTAATGTGAACACCAGACTCTAATTAAGGTCCCTCTGATACTATAAAAGGGCTCACTCCAGTCAGGCAGAGGAGAGCAAGTGCAGCTGAAGGGCTCGGTAATGAAGACACCCTCAAGCCACTGGAAAGGGAGCCCTAAGGTAAAGGTGAAGAAGGCATTGAGAGAGAGAAGTGGGGGAGCTGTGGGGAAGTGGCCCAGGGAAATGTAGCAACTCTGGAAGTGAAAAGGTTGGCTACCAACAGCTGCTGCCATTAGGGTCCCTGGGCCGGAACCCGGAGTAGAGGGCGAGCCCGGGTTCCCCCCAACCCGCCACTACAGAAACACCTCCTGGGAGGGGAAGACAGGCCTCTGTCAGGACAGGAGGCTAAACTGTTTTTGAATAAGCCCGTAGGGACAACAGAGACTGTGGGAGTTCTCTCACCAACCTCTTTGCTGGCTGATGATGAAAAGGGCTCAGTAGACTGTACCCTGGCCCTAGAGAGAGAAGAGCCTACATGGAAGGTCACAGTGACCCTCTGAGGCTAGCATAAACTGCCTGGAAGCGCGGGACCCACAGGGACATGGTCAGAACTCTGCCACAATATATACAGAGAACATGAAAAAAATGGGGGTTGCCATACCAACTCAACCGAGACTAATCGATTAAGGTGGGCTATTATCAGCAGGAGAAAAAAAAACTTCTGTAGTGATAATCAGTATGACCCATTTTAAACCGTTGACAAGAAGGTGTGAGTAACAGCAGGGGGAAAATTAGCATGGGGAAATAGTTTTTAGTTTGTGTAATGACTCATCCACTCCCAGTCTTTACTCAAGCCTAATTTAATGGTGTCCAGTTTGCAAATTAATTCCAATTCTGCAGTTTCTCATTGGAGTCTGTTTCTGAAGCTATTTTGTTGAATAATTGCGACTCTTAGGTCTGTAATTGAGTGTCCAGGGAGGTTGAAGTGTTCTCCGACTGGTTTTTGAATGTTATAATTCTTGACTGATTTGTCTTGTCTGATTTGTGTCCATTTATTCTTGTGTGTAGAGACTGTCCGGTTTGGCCAATAGTATTTTTCAATTCACCTAATACAAGTACTGTAGTGCAATCTCATTATCATGAAAGTTGAACTTACAAATGTAGAATTATGTACAAAAAAAAATTCAAAAATAAAACAAACCATGTAAAACTTTAGAGCCTGCAAGTGCACTCAGTCCTACTTCTTGTTCAGCCAATCGCTAAGACAAACAAGTTTGTTTACATTTACAGGAGATAACTGCCCTCTTCTTATTTATGTCACCAGAAAGTGAGAACAGGCATTTTAATGGCACTTTTGTAGCTGGCATTGCAAGGTATTTACATGCGCTAAAGATTCGTATGCCCCTTCATGGTTCAGCCACCATTTCAGAGGACATGCTTCCATGCTGATGATGCTCGTTAAAAAAGCATTTATTAAATTTGCGACTCAACTCTTTGGGGGAGAACTGTATGTCCCCGGCTCTGTTTTACCTGCATTCTGCCATATATCTCCTGTTACAGAAGTCTCTGACAATGACCTAGCACATGATGTTCATTTTAAGAACACTTTCACTGCAGATCTGACAAAATGCAAAGAAGGTACCAGTGTGAGATTTCTAAAGATAGCTACAGCACTGGACCCAAAGTTTAAGAATCTGAAAGGATGAAGTGTGGAGGAGGCTTTCAGAAGTCTTAAAAGAGCAAAAGATGCGGAAACTACAGAACCCGAACCACCAAAAAAGAAAATCCACCTTCTGTCAGTGATAACTGACTCAGATAATGAAAATGTACATGCATCAGTCCGCACTGCTTTGTACTGTTATCGAGCAGAATCCATCATCAGCATGGACACATGTCCTCTGGAATGGTGGTCGAAGCACGAAGGGACATATGAATCTTTAACACATCTAGCACGTAAGTATCTTGCAACGCCGGCTACAACAGTGCCATGAAAACGCCTGTTCTTCACTTTCAGATGACATTGTAAACAAGAAGTGGATAGCATTATCTCCTGCTGTAAACAAACTTGTTTGTCTGAGAAATTAGCTGAACAAGAAGTAGGACTGAGTGGACTTGCAGACTAAAATTTTAGATTGTTTTATTTTTGAATGTAGTTTTTTTTGTACATAATTCTACATTTGTAAGTTCAACTTTCATGATAAAGAGATTGCACTACAGTACTTGTATTAGGTGAATTGAAAAATACTATTTATTCTGTTTTTTGTGCAAATACTTGTAATCAAAAATATAAAGCGAGCACTGTACACTTTGTATTCTGTGTTGTACTTGAAAACAATGTCTTTGAAAATGTAGAAAACACCCACAAATATTTAAATAAATGGTATTCCATTATTGTTTAATCGTGTGATTAATCGAGATTCATTTTTTTAATTGTTTGACAGCCCTATTCATAAGGATGTGCACATTGGGGAGATTAGAGCCCCCCACTTACTCCAGCTCTATCCAAAAGGCCTGCAGGAGATGGATGAGATTGCAGCTACACTATTTTATACATCTTTGCTACAGCTCTTGAGCTGCAGGTAAATTGCTAGGGTAGCTCTTGGTTGGGCAAGGTGACCTTGTTCCAGAACAAGTGTAAGTAAGTTCTGGCCCTGTGAGTAAGTGCCACAGGTGAAGTTTATTCCCCCAATATGTCAATTCATTCACAGCTGGGTAGACAATCAGAGACAAGACAGCAGCTGGATTTGCTAGTAGCCCTAGGAAATTCCAGTTGCAGGCACAGAGGACAATAGGAATGCCACACGTCTTTAGTGACGATTCTGAGAAATCCCTTTTGTTTGGTGGGGAATTCGCAGGGGTCAGGTCTCCAGCTGGTAGTGAATGTGTCATGATATAACTCTGCTGTGATGCATGCTAGTACCTGGCTCAGAGGTAACCCCTCTGCAGCGTTGCTCCCCTTACCCTGTCCATTTTGAAATTCCTTCCCAGTACATTTTTCTGATTGGAGTCCACGCCGTCACAACTGGCTAAGAACTCTGTGAGAAAGGCCGAGTAGAAGCTATCAAAGTCCACTGAGGCCATGTTGTAGATGGCAATGCCAATTTCTTCCTGCAACAGGTCATGTGATTTGTGGACCAGCACCTGAAGCAGCACATTCACAAACTGAAACAGCATAGTTGTCCGGAAGATCTTCTGCAGGGCGAGAGAAGCACACTCAGTCATATCCTCCCAAGCTGCCAAGCCCCCTGGGCAGGGTCAGACTGAGCCAGTACATAGTGCCATGTCAGTGTGCCCACTAAGGGGAGAAGCAGTTCTTAACAGCGAAGGCCAGATCAAGGCAGTAAGCACAGCTGCATCTGACCACCACTTTGCTGGAGGCCTCAATGGTTTCTCTAGGATTTCAGCTTTCACTTAGGAACAGAAGCTGCTAGCTCCTTTTGACCGTGCAGAACACACCCCAGTGTAGCACTGCTGAGTCTGCAGGGACTGGAACAGTGAGCCAAATTAATCCCTGGTGTAAGGCAGGGGTGAATTTGGCCCTATTCAGCTCAGTGGTTATGGACTCAGAAGAACAAAGGCAGTTTAAACATCCACTCCTTGAGCAGGAGATCAATAAGTCCCTTTCTCACTCCAGCCCGTATGACTCCCACCCAATGCCAGAGGTTCCAACAAGTCTTGAAGATTAGTTACTGCACCAGCCACAACAGCCTGCTGTGGCATCGCTATTGACACAGGTCAAGGACAGAGTTCCTCTGTGGTAGCTGGTCCTAACCTGGGGTCTCTGCTTTCATCTGGTAGCCAGGAGGGCTAAGCCCCAGATTCTACCTCCAGTCCTTCAAGACAATGGCCAATATGCCAGAACTGAAGTGGGGGGAACTCAACACGACAAATCACAATGACTTGATTTTAAAGGTCAAATACCTTGCAGCCTGCCAAGGTGAGGGTCAAATGCTTCACACAGAGATCATTAGCCTTCCTCCACTGATGAGTCCATACTAGGGCTGTCAATCACAGTTAACTCACGTGATTAACTCAAAAAAAATGAATTGCGATTAATAGCAGTTTTAACCGCACTTAAACAATAGAATTCCAATTGAAATGTATTAAATATTTTGGATGTTTTTCTACATTTCCATATATATTGCATTCTGTGTTGTAATTAAAAATATGCACTTTCATTTCATTACAAATATTTGCACTGCAAAAAAGATAAGATAGTATTTTTCAATTCACCTCATACAAGTACTGTAGTGCAATCTCTGTAGTGAAAGTGCAACTTACAAATGTAGATATTTTTGTTACATAACTGCACTCAAACAAAACAATGTAAAAAACTTCAGAGCCTACAAGTGCACTCAGTCCTACTTCTTGGTCAGCCAATCACTAAGACAAACAAGTTTGTTTACATTTACAGGATATAATGCTGCCCACTTCTTATTTACATCGCCTGACAGTGAGAATAGACGTTCACATGGCACTTTTGTAGCTGGCATTGCAAGGTATTTATGTGCCAGATATGCTAAACATTCATATGCCCCTTCATGCTTCGGCCAGCATTCCATGCTGATGACGCTTGTTAAAAAAATACTGTAATTAAATTTGTGTCTGAACTCCTTGGGGGAGAACTGTATGTCCTTTGCTACTTTACCCGCATTCTGCCATATATTTCATGTTATAGCAGTCTCGAATGATGACCCAGCACATGTTGTTCATTTTAAGAACACTTTCACTGAAGATTTGACAAAATGCAAAGAAGGTGCCAAAGTGAGATTTCTAAAGATAGCTAGAGCACTTGACCCAAAGTTGAAGAATCTGAAGTGCCTTCCAAAATCTGAGAGGGATGAGGTGTGGAGCATGCTTTCAGAAGTCTTAAAAGAGCAACACTCTGATGCAAAAACTACAGAACCCAAACCACCAAAAAAGAAAATCAACCTTCTGCCGGTGGTATCGGACTCAGATAATGAAAGTGAACATGCGTTGGTCTGCACTGCTTTGGATTGTTATCGAGTAGAATCTGTCATCAGCATGGACGCATGTTTCCTGGAAAGGTGGCTGAAGCATGAAGGGATATATGACTCTTTAGCACATCTAGCATTTAAATATCTTGTGATGCTGGCTAAAACAGTGCCATGCAAACGACTGTTCTCACTTTCAGGTGACATTGTAAACAACAAGCAGGCAGCATTATCTCCTGCAAATGTAAACAAACTTATTTGTCTGAGCAATTGGCTGAACAAGAAGTAGCACTGAGTGGACTTGCAGGCTCTGAAGTTTTACACTGTTTTATTTTTGAATGCAGATTTTTTTGTACATAATTCTATATATGTAAGTTCAACTTTCATGATAGTGAAATTGCACTACAGTACTTGTATTAGTAAGTGAATTGAAAAATACTATTTCTTTTAACAGTGCAAATACTTATAATAAATAAATATAAAGTGAGCACTGTACACTTTATATTCTGTGTTGTAATTGAAATCAATATATTTCAAAATGTAGAAAACATCCACAATTTTTTAAATAAATGGTATTCCATTATTGTTTAATTACACGGTTAATCGCAATTAATCGGATTAATTTGTTTAATTGCTTGACAGACCTAGTCCAAACCCCAGCACCCAAAGTCATCCTTTGCCATGCTCAAACCCCTAAGTACAATAGCTTTTGGTCCTTCCATTCATTCCAGTCCAGTTCTTCCTGGCTGTTGGGATAGATTGCAAATTTCCTTCCTCTGCCTCCACAAGGCAGCTCCTATCCTGGACTTGGTCTCTTCTCCTCTCTCCATAACATGGAGTGATTAAGTGATGGTGGGGGCTCACCTATTCTGTGCTCCTTCTGCTCAAGGGAGGGGGAAGATTTGTCCCAGTGAATCCTTTCCTCCCCTCCCATTTTGGGGTGACTCCTTCCATCCTCCTCCCTACTGTCAATGAAGAGCCCACGAGGTTTTTGCTGTGACCAGTGCAGAGGTGGCATCACTTCTGTACCAGACACCAGTGCAACAGACTGAGGGGAATGTTGATTTAATCTGTGCTGTGCCCCTCGCAGAACTATCTCTAGAGGAAGATGAGGAGTCAAGGTCTGCTGCACCCCCTGCCCACAGCCTTTACTCCAAAACCTCTCCTGGGGGTGCTGTATACCACCTAGAGCTTGGAGTTGCAGCTTTCCAGTACCATCAAGCAGTAACTTCTAGCAATCCAGGTTCACAAGATACCAGACCATAATACTGTCACACTGCTCAGCTGAGCAGTGGCTCAGGACTTGGTATATAGCAGGTCCCAGCACAGTGCCCTCTAGCTGCTGCACACAGCACACATAGGAGTTGACCAACTGGCACTCACCTTGTGGTATAGCTTCTGCTTGGTATTCAGTGTCTCCAGGTAGAAGAGATTCTGTTTAAATAGGTGTATGTCAGGCTGCAGGAAGGACTGGCCAAATGCCTATGGAAAAAGACAGATCTTAGGAGATGGAATGAGTAACAATATGCTTAAAGACCAGCATGCAGGTTTGCCAGACAGAACTGGAGTATATGACATCAAGTGCTGGCCAAAGGTAGATCTATATATTGGAGTATTTGGTGCCCGACTGGATCTCCTAGCATCAGAGTACATACCACTTGGCAGGGCCCTCTGTCAGCCCAGAGGCTTGTGTTGTCTGAGCTTTTCAGGTTCAACTCCCATTCCCATACTAGACATACTGCCTAATCCTGCTCGCGCTCTCCTGCAGGGAACTGCTACCTAGTGCCCAGGCTGGGAGGGCAAGTGACTGGTCTCCTTTGAAACAGACACCTGGAGAAGTCAGCCCAGACGGCAGAGTTAGCGCTTCAGCCCCTAAAAGCTCAACCACCACTTCTCCCCAACGCAGAATCTGAAGGCTGTTTGAAAGACCTGCCTCTTTTTTAGGACCTCACTCACACCCTTCCAGCTGTTAATCTGAGCCACATCCATTTACAGTTGTCTTGGTCAACCCCTCCGGCCCCAGCTGTTTGCCTTCATTGTGAACCTGACCTCACACACACAGCCAACCTAGTGTATGGCAATGTGGGAAGCCGAGCTTTCAGCTTTGGCAGTCCAGAAAGGGAACCATTTCCCTTCCTCACCCTCCAAGTAATGTTCCTGCCAAACAGGACCGATTCTCAGCTTTCATCAGGAAATATTCTCAAGGAGCTCAGGGAGACACTCCTGTATCTAATAATCCAGACACCAAGGATACAGGCAGAGCCCTATTCAGAGTAGCAAAGAGCCCATGTCCCAGGGACAAACCCCCTAGGAGTTACAAGAGCCTCTCATGACACTCCTAACTCCAGTCAACTCTCAGAGCAGAGGTGATTGCTTAACAAACCATGCAGATACCAGACCAGAAAAAATGACCGAATTTGAACTGAAGTCTAAGCACATCTGAGACACTCTGAACAGTCCTTTGATTGAGACTCTTGAGAGCTCAAGCCAGTGTTCTCTCACTGGAGGAATGGCTGGTGATGAAATTGTCTCCCTTTGGTAGTCAGCTAGAACCCAAGTTTGTTGGCTGTATGGGAGGATCTGATCTAGTCCAAGGGTTCTCCAACTTCATTGCACTGCAACCCCCTTCTGACAATAAAAATTACATCATGAACCCCAGAGGGGGAACTGCAGTCTGAGCCAAAGCCCAAGCCCCGCTACCCTGGGTAGGGAGGTCAAAGCCCAAATCCCAGTGCCTTGGGCAGGGAGGCCAAAGTTGAAGCCCAAGGGCTTCAGCCCCAGACAGGGGGCCTGTAACCTGAGCTCCGCCGCCCAGGGCTGAAGCCTTCAGAGTTTGGCTCTGGCCCTGTGCCCCAGCAAGTCTAAACCAGCCCTGGCAACCCCATTAAAATGGAGTAGCGACCGACTTTGGGGTCCTGACACACAGTTTGAGAACCACTGGTCTCGATTATGAGGTGTTTTCATCTGGTCAGCTCTTTGTGGGGGTGGGGAGGGAAGAGGGAGAGTACACATGTTCAGGTTTTGTTTTAAACATCTGGATAAGCCCAGAGGCCAGGACAATAGGCAGATATAACACATTCCTACTGTGAGCAATAAAAGAAAAGGAACTGGAACTGCAGGTAGCTGAAAGACAAGCCACAAGGGGTCTAGGAACAAAATTTGCTGGATTGGACTGGACTAGTATCTTGTTGCAGATAGAGGCCAAGACTTGAGGCTTCAGGAGTATGACAGTCTCACATACTAAGCTGCTTTAATATTGTACAAGGAATGGGATGTAGAAAAGTTCTACCTGATGCCTCCCATAGGGTACCACAGCTTCCATCACGTAACAGGAAACTAGATTACCCTTGATAGCCATGCAACTCAGTGTTAATGGTCAAAAACGACCCAGCATTTTTCAAAATCCAGCCGCAGTCCTGGACTCTGACCTGATACGGCTGGCACTCCGCTGGATAACACAGGCTGTTCTTACCATAGAGAACATTTGCAGAACATTAACTAACAGGAGCCAACTAGTAAAACAAAGTCGCCCGGAATCGCTGGCCAAAAGGCAGCTAATATTCAATTACTGAGTAAAGGCACTTTAGAAAGGTGCAGCTGAAAGGTTCAGTTCAGTTACACTGTCAGAGAAGGGGCAAGAACAAACATGCTCAGGCAGCCCTGCATAGCCTGGGTAGTAACGCAGAGATGTGCCATGAGCCCTAGTAGATCTCAGTGGAAACTAAGGGCTTCTCTGTTTGGAGAGTTAGTGCTTGACAAGCTGGGCTGTAAATCTACAGCCTGTTGTGCACTGGCTGGCCGTGTGGACCTGGTCAACAGCAGCAGGGCACAGCGTACTATGGAACTGTCCATGTGCCGCAGCAGAGTCCACATGGCCAGTTAGCATGCTGCAGGCTACTGCACTGAAGATTTAAACCCCTGCTTGCCATGTACTAATTATCCGCATACATAAGATACCAGAAAGGGGAAGGACGCAGAGAAAGTTCAATACAGGGTTTAACTCTCTGAATGAGAGAGAAATGTCTCCACCTGTAATACTACAGAGAGGACCGCTCCTGTGAGTGCTCATTCGCAGGCAGTTGTGTGGCCAGGCCTCTGATCTGACCTCCCAGTGGATGGCCCTGCCCTCTGGAACTCTCTGCCCTGTGCGGACCTGCCAGATATTGAGAGCTCCCAGGGCATGGCGCAAGGCTCTGTTTACTCTGAAGTAGGCTGAAGGTACAGAGCATTGCATCAGGCAGCCCGACTGGGTGATTGATTGGGATGATGCTTTGAATTTTGCTGCAAGCTGCGTTAAACCCTTTGGAGAGCTAATCCTGCTCTTAAAGTAGTAAGTATTCACAGGCTCGAGCAGTTTTGATAAATGCCAGAGTAAAACCTGAAACAAGGAAGTTTTATGCTTTTTAGGACTCTGGCTGTCCAGGCTGGAAAGAATCCTATAGGCTTTACCTGTGGGCTATTATATTTCATTTCCCTTCTCTATTCAAAGGACCAGAGCCTATAGAACAGTGGTGGTCAACCCGCCGGCCGCATGCGGCCCATCGGGGTAATCTGATTGCGGGCCATGAGCCATTTTGCGGACGCTGACTGTCTGCATGGACGGCCCCCCACAGCTCCCAGTGGCTGCAGTTCGCCGTTCCCGGCTAATGGAAGCTGCAGGAAGCGGCGGCCAGCACATCCCTGCAGCCGGCCGCTTCCATTTTCCAGGAACAGCAAACCACGGCCACTGGGAGCTGCGGGAGACTGTGCCTGTGGACAGTCAACTTAAACAAAAGGTCTTGCGTTCCGCAATCAGATTACCCTGATGGGCCGCATGCAGCCCACGGGCCCCAAGTTGCTCACCACTGCTACATAATATCCAGTAACTGTTCTTTCCTAGATGTGGTGGACCCAGATACAGTGGAACATCTTATAGTAACAAGTCAATGTAAACCCAGACGAGACACCTTAGTACCATACAAGCTTTCATCACTACCAGACTGCCCTATTGCACTTCAAGAGACGTGTGGTGGTAAAGGGAACAATGATGCTTTAGTTCTGGATGTGGGGTGTGCTGCATCATTGTAGTGCACAAATCCACATCGAGAAAGTGACCCTTTGAGATGCCTATTATCCCTTTATGTTCTAACAGGTAAGATATTCTGCATCTTGTCTACACAACCATACATCCCACATGTGAGCTAACATTTCCATAGCTGTGCAACAAGAACTCAACACGTTAAATCTAGTTTAAGTCAACCCTGAGAGTTTCTAATTGTCTGGTCACTACAACACAAAACTTCCATCAGGAAATCCTAAGTTCTCAAGTTATGAGAGTTGTTGAGTTACCTGCATAATGGCACTGAACTGTGCTTCGTTCTCCATCTGTTCTTCTGCTATCCCTCTCTGGACACTTGCCAGAACGCTAGACTTGAAGAAATACCGCCAATTGTGATGGAGGACCCGGAAAAGCAGCTCAAATAACTCTGCTTTCACATCAGGAGATGAGCGCTGGGGGAGAAACAGAATCTTAGAACAGACTGCTTTGGTGGAAAGCAGCTACTTCAGTGGATCCCACTACGCAACAGCTCTTCCCCATAATATGCAGGTGGTCATCCAGAACAGTATTTCAGACCAGAGGTGCTACATTATAGCAAGGGCATGGCTGAGATGATGAACAAGAACTTAAAGCTTATTTTCTTCTAGGGTAAGCATGAGACCCAATGCTCATCTGGGCTATGCAAAAAACCCACTGTACATGTAGTGAGTCCTGAAGCCTTGCCTTGAACATATCTGAAAATTTATCTTCTTCACAGCTAGCATGCAATGACCTCAACCCCCATCAGGCTCCAGATTTAACAGTAATTCTGTCCCAGCTCACCCCATCTAGTGGCTCAGATTGCAACAGCATGAAGAAAAACAAAATTGCTTCTCCAGCTCAGGATTTTAACTGGACACTAACTCCACCTGCTGTATGGGAGTTGTCCTACCTCTGCAATGATGGGGTAGACCTGTTCCATGCACAGCGAGATGATGCTGGGTAAGAAAGGCTTGAACACTTGGCCTGGTTCTTGTACTACCACTTGCAGAATCTTCAGAAACTTCTCAACCACACGACAGCCAGTGCTGCCCTCGTGGAGGATGCTCTCTGCTAACTGCTCTCTAGGACACAAAGAAAGTCATTGACACTGTCAGAAGTCTGAGGGAGATGTTTAGTCAAATTAAAACATTTGAAGGCAATGGCAGCAGACAAACACCATTAATTTAGTTTGAGGTGTTGCTATAGACTGATTGCAGCCAATCTCAGAAGGGAGCTGGCTCTGACGAAGTGACACAAAACCACCCCGGCTTCCATAGATTTAGGATGATTAGGGCACACTCAATATTCTCCTGATCCAGACCTTAAAGAGCAACAAAGAACAAGGTCATGAAGTCAGTTCTGCAATATTTCTTTTGTCTTAGATGAAACCATAAGATATTACAATAGCTTTGCCATTTCCTTAACATGTCTCACAGCATTCGTGTGCAGGCCCCAGGTTAATGACTGGTGGGCAGTCAATTCCCCCATCCAGCTAGGCCACTATAAACGGCAGCAGCACATATCCTGCAGCTGGAAAGGCTATCCTTTCTTGATCAAGGCACCGATGCGAATTCATGGTCACATGCAAGGTGCAGCAGCCTGGAAAGGTTCTTTCCTTCACAGACGTAGAAGCTCCCAGTCTAGGCCTATGCTGGAGGCAGAGATCAATTTCTGAATGTTGTTTCAGATTCTGAGAAGCAAAACACCCCCTTTTGTTCATACAAGATCTGTTCCCACCTATTTATGAGAGGAGCTTGGGAATGTGATTTGTGTTCACTGGCAGAGGATAGCTTCTTGTGTCATAGCATCGCAGAAGATTAGGGTTGGAAGAGACCTCTAGTCCAACTCTCTGCTCAAAGCAGGACCAACCCTAACTAAATCATCCCAGCCAGGGCTTTGTCAAGCCAGGCCTTATAAACCTTTATGGATGGAGATTCCACCACCTCTTTAGGTAACCCATTCCAGTGCTTCACCACCCTCCTAGTTTATCCTAATATCCAACCTAGACCTCCCACACTGCAACTTGAGACCATAACTCCTTGTTCTGTCATCTGCCACCATGGAGAACAGCCCAGCTCCATCCTCTTTGGAACCGCCCTTCAGGTAGTTGAAGGCTGCTATCAAATCCCCCTTCACTCTTCTCTTCGGCAGACTAAATAACCCCAGTTCCCTCAGCCATTCCTCATAAGTCATGTACCCCAGCTCCCTAATCATTTTCATTGCCCTCTGCTGGACTCTCTCCAATTTGTCCACATCCTTTCTGTAGTGGGGGGCCCAAAACTGGATGCAATACTCCAGATATGGCCTCACCAGTGCTGAATATAGGGGAATAATCACTTCCGTCGATCTTCTGGCAATGCTCCTATTAATGCAGCCCAATATGCCATTAACCTTCTTGGCAACAAGGGCATACTGTTGACTCATATCCAGCTTCTTGTCCACTGTAATCCCCAGGTCCTTTTCTGCAGAACTGCCGCTTAGCCAGTCAGTCCCCAACCTGTAGCAGTGCATGTGAGTCTTCCGTCCTAAGTGCAGGACTCTGCACTTGTTCTTGTTGAACCTTATCAGATTTCTTTTGGCCCAGTCCTCCCAATTTGTCTAGGTCACTCCGGACCCTATCCCTACCCTCCAGCATATCTACCTCTCCCCCCAGCTTAGTGTCATCCGCAAACTTGATGAGCATGCAACCCATCCCATCATCCACATCATTAATGAAGATGTTGAACAAAACCAGCCCCAGGACCAACCCCCAGTGTTGTAACCTGCCTCCTCCCTACAAGTCATCTGGAGTTTTTCAGAAGCATTTTTGCCTCCTTCCCCCAATGGATTCCGTCCTGGGACAGGGAAAAAAATCCAGACACTTTGAGGGGGTGAAAATATTAATGGACACTTTAGAGAAGTGGCCAATCAGCAAGCTGCTCATACAGCAGAAGTTCTCAAGGTAAGGAGCTTCCTCACACAGGGTCCAGAAATAACTTTTCATCAGTTAGGCAACTGGGGTGACAGATACCTGGTGAACATGTTTAGGAAGGTCTGTATGATCTGCTCAGTGAAAGGTACTCCCATCTGTACCCTCAGTCCTTGGAAGAGGGTGAGGAAGAAGCTCAGCATCTCATCTGTCACATCTATAATAGAAAGAAAAAAGGCAAAGGAAGGTATTAAGGAGACAGCTGTAAAGCACTGCAAATGTTTGTTTTGTTGATGATCTGCTCCTCCTGTGCTGGATTCCCCTTTACTTATTCATGCTGGGATTACCAGCAGGGCTGCCATTGTAAGTGAGACTAAGGGCTGGTGCCAAAGGTTTATAACCTGACACCTGGTGGAAGAGGCAAACTGGAGTGGCCTTTTATACATCCAGCCAGCATGATACAGTGCTAACAGTAGAGAGCCCACTTAATTAGTCTGAGCCAACATGGAAGGTACTGAGGTTACTCTTGGGCCACGCTCTGTCAGTTCACTGCTTATACAGGATCAACAGGAAGTAACATGAAATTCAAAAGCTACGCACCTTTAAGAGGCAGGGGAAGGGAGGAGGAGAAAAAGGAAACTGACTGGTTTGATTTTTGTAATTATTAAAGACACTTGGCTGAATTCAGAGGTAATTCCCAGCACATGGTTGTGTGCTTAACTGATCATCACTGCAGAGTCAAAGTCTTGTGCTAGCCCTGTCTCACACACTTGATTGGGTAACCATGTTAAAGCTGTATCTGTTCAATTCTTTCACTGTGCACGTCCAACCATGGATAAATATTGCAACTGCATGAGACTGTTCACAAAGGTAATTTCACTGTTCCCTTGTCTGCTAGCTATTCACCAGAATGGTTAATCAGGGAGTTGGGACCCCAGCTCACCCTACTGGATTTTGTTTGCATTTAAAGTTGTCCTCTATCCTGTCTCTTACTCTTCCCCCTACCCCCCAACTCTTTACTTCTCTACACAGCCAAGGGAAACAGTTTTGTATTCCTGCTCCACTGCAGAAGCTGCCAGCTCTCTTTGGGGTACTAGATATGACCCATGAGGGTCTCACTTGGCTGCCCTGGTGCCTCTTTTAAGGTGAGGTGCTGGGTATTCCAGGGGCTTTAGCTTCCAGCTGCCAGAGTGTGATACAAAGCCTGCTTCTCAAGATTAACTGGGGTCTTGCTCAGGATAAGACTGGTTAGCAAGGACCTTTGGGGCCTGGCTCTGACCCAGGATTCTTTGCTTCACAAGCAGTCTCAAGAACTGTCTGCCTTGGTCTGAACGGGGCTACACCTCCACACCTCTTCACCATTCTGAAGAAATGGTAAATGCCAGATAACATTACATGCAAAAAAACATTTTTTGTTTTTAAACCCTTAGCCTGGTTTGTTCCATAGTGTGTGGTGCAACGGACCATTCCCGAGGAGCAGGTATAGGGAATTTTGAGGATTCAGTATGTTACAAGCTTTCATGACTATGTCCTCGTCAGCTGGAATACCAGTTGTTTAAGCAATTTAAGACCATTTCCCTATCAAATGTCCTCTGACCCTTTCCTGATCCAAGATGCAGCTTAACCTGAAAGTTCCTAATTAAACAGCTGCCCATGGTACTGATTCACATTCCACTTGGGCAAACAAATCTATGCATATCATGTATGTGCCAAGGCTAATTTTATCAGAATGGGCCTTGGGCATTTATCAGTAGCTCATAAGAGCTACTCACAGCATTAAAGCTTGTCCTATTGTTATACCTGACTGATGAATGAAAGCTGGGAAGAGGGCTAGTGAGACCTGCACGGATTCCTGCAGTGACTGATAACAGATCTGCCGAGACTTGGTAGACTCTCCAGAGATACTCTCCACAATGTCTTCTAAGACACTAAGTGTCTGGTGGATGATCACTTTGGCTGCAAATCAAGATGGAGAAAGACTTATGAGAGATTTTCCAGGGATATTAAGAAAACTAACCAGGTGGCAGAAATCACACACCCACATCTACAATAGTCAAAACCTAGAAGCCTTTCCACAGACAAGATGACTATACACCAGCTCAAGTTCCCAATGCAAAAAGAGCTTCAGAGAGTGTGCCTAGTTTTAAGCAAACAGGCTCACTGAAGACAACTCACATGCTTAGTGCTAGCCATGTGTTCAAGTACCTTGCTTGTCCAAATGGTTACTGCTTCTACTAAGAGGCAGACTATGGGATCACAGAGAAGGCAGATTAGTGGTCTCATTTAAACATACAGCTAGTTAAAGTAACACCAAACAAGAAGAAAACAAAGAACAAGCATGCTGGAACAATGGGATACACTGGGTCAATTTAGTACTCATGACAATGGCAACAGCAGTGAAGACATTGCAAGCCAGCACTGTGTAAATACCAATGGAGGAGAGAAAACACTGGACCAATTCAAGCTGCACAGCAGGTTTCTGATTAGTAGCAACTGTCCTTTTAGGATTGAGACAGCCCAGCCCCCACACACTTGTACCGTATATAAAGCAGACCACTGCTCTCCAGAATGTGCCAGCTTTGAAAAGACAGTTACCTTTTCCGTAACTGGTGTTCTTCAAGATGTGTTACTCATGTCTATTCCACAATAGGTGTGCGTGCTCGCCACGTGCACCAGTGCCAGAAGTTTTTCCCCTAGCAGTACCCGTAAGGGGGAGCGCCTCAGCAATCCCTGGAGTGGCCCCTCCATGGCACAGCATAAGGGGAGCTGCGCGCTCCCCCCACCCTCAGTTCCTTCTTGCCAGACACCTCCGACAGAGGGGAAGGAGGGCGGGATGTGGAATAGACATGAGCAACACATCTCGAATAACACCAGTTACAGAAAAGGTAACTGTCTTTTCTTCTTTGAGTGATCGCTCATGTGTATTCCACAATAGGTGATTCCAAGCTATATCTGTTGGAGGTGGGTAGGAGTTCACAAATTCTCAGGACGGAGTACAGCCCTGCCAAACCCGGCCTCATCTCTGGTTTGGGAGATGATCGCACAGTGCGAGGTGAACATGTGAACCAAAGACCACGTGGCAGCCTTGGATGGGGACGTGGGCCAAGAAGACAGCCGACAAGGTTTGCACTTGAGTCGAGTGCACCTTCACAACTGGTGGCGGGGGATACCTGCCAGATCATAACAGGTACGGATGCACGAAGTGATCCGGTTGGAGAGCTGCTGAGTGGAGATTGACCGACCCCTCATGCGCTCAGCCGAGGTGATGAACAGTTGTGAGGACTTTCTGAACAGCTTGGTCCACTCGAGGTGGAAAGCCAGAGCCCACTACACATCGAGCGTGTTGAAACGGCGCTCCTCACTGGACATGAGGGGCTTGGGGCAGAGGACCAGTAGAAATATGTCCTGACCCATGTGATAGGCGGAGACCACCTTCGGGAGGAATGCAGGGTGCAGGCGGAGCTGGACCTTGTCCTTATGGAAAACGGTGTATGAGGGCTCGGAGCTCCGAGACCCACCTGGCCCAAGTGATTGCGACCAGGAAGGCCACCTTCCATGAGAGGTGGGACCAGGTTTAGGTCCCACTGTGGGACCGGGGGCAGAGCATACAGGGAAGAGACGGTTCAACCCCTTGAGGAAGCGGCCAGTCACAGTAGCATGGGAGAATACCGTACGACCCTGCACTGGCGGATGGAAGGCTGATATGGCTGCCAGGTGCACCTTGACTGACAAGGGCACCAGGCCCTGGGCTCTAAGGTGGAGAAGGTAGTCCAGGATAAGCTGGATCGGGGCAGCCACCGGGGAAACGCCCCGCTCATTTGCCCATCCGGACAACTGGGACCACTTTGCCAAGCAGGAGCAGCGCGTGGAGGGGCGTGGATTGAACCCCTTCTGAGCATGTCCTTTCCTCCGTACCTAACCATTGAGCAGCCACACCATGAGGTGGAGAGCTGCTAGGTTGGAATGGAGGAGGCGGCCCTGGTCCTGGGAGAGCAGGTCTGGGCGAAATGGCAACGACCATGGTGGAGTAACGGCCAGGTCCGTGAGGGTCCTGTACCAATGTTGCCTGGGTCATGCCGGGGCAATCAGAAGGAACCGGGCCTTGTTCGTCTTTATTTTTTTCCAGCACCTTGCTGATCAGTGGGAACGGGGGAAAGGCACAAAGAAACTGGCCTGACCAGGACAGGAGAAAGGCATCAGAACCACTGGAGCAGAACCGGGGACAGCGCCTGTTCTGTTGAGTTGCGAACAGGTCCACCGGGGGAGTACCCCACACTTGGAAAAGCCTGTGAGCCACCTCTGGGTGGAGAGACCACTCGTGCTGAGAGGAGACATCTCTGCTCAAGCGATCCACCCGCGCATTCCGGGCGCCCGGTAGATGGAAAGCCTTTAGGCAGATGATGTGGGCTATACAGAAATCCCACAGCCTGTGGGCTTCGCGGCAGAGGATTGGGCCCCGCCTTGCCTGTTGATATGGAACATCAAGGCCATGTTGTCTGTGAGGACTCTGGCCACCCTGCCCTCCAGGTGCGAGCGGAAGGCCATGCACGCCAGCCGTACCGCCCTGAGCTCCTTGACATTTATTTGTAGGGTCAGATCCTGAGCCGACCACAGACCTTGGGTCTGAATGTTCCCCATGTGGGCCCCCCAACCCAGGTCCGATGCATCGGACACCAGTTCCAGCAACGGGACCCCTTGGAGCATGTTGCTTGGGGCAGACCACCACCGGAGGGAGGCAATCACCGAGTCGGGTATGGTGAGGACTTTGTCCATCCTGTCCCTGGCCTGGGAGAACTCTGAGACCAACCAGAACTGGAGGGGCCGCATCCTGAGTCTGGCGTGCCGGACCACGTATATGCACGCCAACAGGTGACCCAAGAGCTAGAGGCATGCTCTGGCTGTTGTCACCAGGACTGTGACTGTGTCGATGAGCCCCTTCAGGGTCTCAAACCTGTCCTTTGGTGACGTCTGCTTTGGTCCCATCGGTATTCGCTCCTTGAGGTGGAGCGGTGCCAAGAATCTCGGTCGGATGGAACCCAACCAGACAGCGTAGTGGGAGTCAAGGGCAATGCACTTGGACTTTGCCCTGAATGGTCACTAGACGGTGAACGGAGTTGGGAACATTCTCTCGACTGAGACGGGGGCGACTGCGGAGATCCCAGCGGTGGCTTGCCTCTGAAGTGTGGAGCCGACATTGGCGGTGCTCCTGGTACCAGCATGGACATAACGTCCCGGGCCACCTGCAGGGCCTCCGGTGTGGAGGGCATCTAGACATCTGGGGAGGCCTGCTCTGAATAGGCCGGGCTACTCCGCTCAACTTGAGTTGGAGGTCTAGAGGCCGGTGGGGATAGAGGACTGCCGGACATGGGTCTAGCCTCTGTTCCGGGTTTACTTCGGTGCTGCTGCAAAAGCGGTGTCTTTCTAGCCTTCTGGGCATTCCCCGTAGACGGGGAGAGGTGCCAACTGGTCAATAGTGCCGGCGGGTCGCCGCACACCGACACCGCGGTGCCGACTCGGAGCAGCACACTGAAGTTGGGGTCAGCGCCGACTCCATCAGAATAGCCTGGAGCCTAATGTCCCTTTCTCTCTTGGTCTGAGGCTTAAACGACTTGCAAATTTTGCAATGATCGCGGATATGGGCTTCTCCCGAACTGCGGAGACAGTCCGCGTGCAGGTCATTCCTTTGCACAGGTCGCCTACAAGTGTCGCACGACTTAAAACCCGGGACATGCCCCAGCCCGAGCGCTCTAACTGAATTAACTAAACAGCTAACTAACTACAGGTATTAAGACTGAACGAGCAAGCAGTTCTGGGGATGAGCTACAGCATTAAGCTTGAGCAGAGCAGTTCCGACGCACCTTCGCTGGCGGCAAGAAGGAACTGAGGGTAGGGGGAGCGTGCCGCTCCCCTTATACCACGCCATGGAGGTGCCACTCCAGGGGTCGCTGGGGCACTCCCCCCATGGGCACTGCTAGGGGAAAAACTTCCAGCATTGGTGCACGTGGCAAGTACGCACACCTATTGTGGAATACAAATGAGCAATCATTCGACGAAGAACACCTTGTGTCCATACTGTAGCTGTAAGTGATAATGTAGGATTCCAAATAGTATTTAGTAGAATGATCCTCAAAACTAAAGCCCCACAACATGCATAGGAACCCTTTTAGCTAGCAGAGAACATGAAATTTCAACCCCCCGACCCCAACAAGGGTTCTCTATATCTCAGTCTTGACAAAATCCTTACTATTTTCTCACAGCTGAAATCTTTGGGAACATTACCTCCAACCCAGATTTCCAGAATGACAGCCTAATGGTAGCCCCCCAAACTATTGCATTAGCGAGCCAGAGTATTTTATAATGTAATCTTTCTTGCCTAGAAGGTTAAAAACGACTGTGACGGTGCCCCCCATAAGGCTTTATGGAAATATGTTTATGAATGTATATATGACATAACTGGAATCTGTTTTATGCTACATACGCCATGTAACATCTCTGTAAAGGTTATGATCTACTGAATCTATTCATCCTATTCATATGCATGTGTCATTATCATATTCGAAGTTATGAATATTGGCTGTATTCTTGGTTATTTAAAAACAAACTTAGTAAGGCATTTGGTCAACTTCTTCAGAAAGGAATTTGCAAGTTAAGTGCCCAATCAAGAAGCACTTAACGCACAGTGGATCTTGGAAGGCTCCAATCCACATAAAAAGTCTACCTAAGGACGTTCAAGGTAGCATGTAAGCAATGGCTGCTGCCTGTAAAAACTGTGTCATGCATGGACATGTGACTTGCCCATGTAACTCCAAAACTCCATCTTGGAGCTGGATTTAGCATAGGAGAGAGGAGGGGGTCTCTACCCACAAGGGAAAGTCTATTTAAGCCCGTGGAAGACCCCTCCATTTTGTCTTCAGCTGGCTAAAGAGAGCCTCTCCACCCCCAAGGATACCTGAAACAAGGGACAGTAACTACAGGGGGTGTGAGTGATTGATGGACCAGACTAGAGGGAGAATAGTCTGTAAAAGGAAGCTTCCTGGGTGAGGTTTTTATCTGTATTCAGTCTTCTTAGACATAGACTTGCGTATTCTATTTTATTTTGCTTGGTAATTCACTTCGTTCTGTCTGTTACTACTTGGAACCACTGAAATCCTACTTTCTGTTTTTAATAAAATCACTTTTTACTTATTAATTAACCCAGAGTATGTATTGATACCCAGGGGGAGGGGGGGAAGGAGAACAGCTGTGCATATCTGTCAGCTTTATGGGGGGGGAGGGGAGAAAACAGCTGTGCATCTCTATCAGCGTTATAGAGGGCAAACAATTTATGAGTTTACCCTGTATAAGCTTTATACAGGGTAAAACTGATTTATTTGGGGTTTGGACCCCATTGGGAGTTAGGCATCTGAGTGTTAAAGACAGGAACACTTCTTAAGCTGCTTTCAGTTGAGTCTGCAGGTTTGGGGCACGTGGTTCAGACCCTGGGTCTGTGTTGGAGCAGACTGGCGTGTCTGCCTCAACAACTCAGGGTAGAGTCCCAAGCTGGCAGGGAAAGCAGGGGCAGAAGTCGTCTTGGCATATCATTTGGCAGCCCCAAGGGGGTTTCTGTGATCCAACCCGTCCCAACAACAACTTGATCCTGCTCTCAGAGCAAAGAAGTGTACTGACAACTCACTGGAGCAAAAGTTCCCTTTAAAACACTCACTGAAAAGGTGGGAAGCACAGTCGCATAAATCGTCATTTGATCTAACTGTTCACACCTCAGCCTCCCAAATAAGTCTCTGAGTACAGGCCTTCCAGCTAGTGGAGTTATTGGAACAACTCTGCTTAATGATTCCCTATCAGCAGCTGCCCTGGTGGGTGGCTCATTTCAGGAAACAGAGCACTTACTGTCCTCCAGCCGCACTTTCCTCTGTGGCAGGATGGCACTGGATTTCAGATGGCGGTATTCCCTTGTGAGGGCAGAAATCAGACTGGCATGGTTGGTTGAGCGAACTGCCCACTGCTGCTCATTCTCTGGGAGATTTGGCCATGGCAGCAACAACACATTTGAGAGCGCTCTGCACACCAGCACCTGGGCCTGGAATCAACGAAACATTAAGCCTTGAAACAATGCAGCTTTAAGGAACCTGCTATTGCCTCATTTAAGGGAGACCTCTCTCACTTTATATGGAAGTGCGATTCTAGCATAAGCCCTGAAAATCAAGTTTAATAAGAGACATTAAACTCAACATGCAGCTGAAATCTTGCAGCTCTACAAACTAGAAGGGGAAGGCGAGTATTGTGATTAAGGCACTAGACCCAGCCTCAGATCTGGATTCAGTTCCTAGACTCTGGTTTCAGAGTAGTAGCCGTGTTAGTCTGTATCTGCAAAAAGAACAGGAGTACTTGTGGCACCTTAGAGACTAACAAATTTATTTGAGCATAAGCTTTCATGGGCTACAGCCCACTTCATCGGATGGGTAACCTTGAGCAATTCACTCAATCTTTGTGCTTCAGTTCTGCATCTGAATAATGAGGGCTTTGTCTACACTGCCCAGCAGCGTGGACTACAGTGATGTGAATTACAGAGCCCACCAAAGTGCTGTGATCTAACTGCCCTGTGTGGACACTGCTGGCATGAACCAAGGGTATGTCTATACTGCAATAAAAAAAACGCAGCACAGAGTGTTTCAGTGGGCTCCTGCTGCAGGGACAAAAATAGCAATGTAGATGTTTGGGCTCAGGCTGGAATCCAGGCTCTGAGATCCTCCTCCCCTTCGCTATTTTATAGCCCCACAGCCAGAGTCACCTGACCCAGGCCAGCTGTAGCTGCGCCACAGGTCTTTTACTGCAGCGTAGATGTATCCTAAAAGCTATCTAGCTTACATTAACAGAGTCCTGTTTGAAAGGGGACATACGTTAATACAAACTGGGCACCTTTTAGTTTGTGCCACTAGTGTCCAAACAGGGCAGTTAGATTGCAACACTTTGGTGAGCTCTGCAATTGGCCCCTCTACAGTCCACAGCACTGTGTACACAAGCCCAAGGATAACACTTCCTTGCTCCTTCCTATGGTCTGTCTTGTTATTTATATTGCAAGTTCTTTGGGACAATAGGTTTGTACAGTCCTCAACACAAGGAGATCCTGATCTTTGCCAGGGCCTTTAAGTACTACTTAATACAAATCAGCATTTAAACTGGGAATGCAGACTAAGGAATCTGAATGGAAATATTCCTCCCCATGAGTCACAGTCAGCCCTAGAATGCAGAGGTTCAGAAACAAAACTATCAAGTGTAGATAATTCAGAGCTCTTGCCATCATAAAACAGCCAGGACATCAGGTACAAGTTATGGGAAGTTAAGTTGTTGTTTAATGAGATTTGTGAATTTTATGTTTTTCCTCATTTTTAGTACTTCTACTCTAAACATTAAAGGCCACGGACGTATCCAAGACACTCAGATTGCTGCATGTAATGTTTATAGAATCCAGGAGTAACGTCTCTTTCCCTGAAATTGATGTACCATGGTGGTAAAAGCTGTGATATTGTTTCCTCAGGGCACCGAATTAAACTGACATTCTGCATTTGTGTTAGAGTCAAACAGCACCTTATCAGGAAGCCGCTGAGCTGAGGTATCTGTGATCCTGTTGAAAACTTTCTGTACTGCTGGGATTCTAATCAAGAACACTGGCCGCACTGTGGTAGCTAACGAGACCAGCAAATGGCATGCAGACAACAGCAACTTCTCTTGCACCTGAAAAAGAAAGCATGTTCTCTTAGGCTCTGCAGTAACTCAGTCCCACACAGCGTCAAGAAGAGACAGTGGACTTTCTGGGACACAGCACTGGTATTCAAGAGCACACTGAATCGGACAGACAGAATATTCACACAAACTAGCCTTCAAGCACAAGTCAGTATTCAGTGGCCTTTAATCAGAACACAGGTCAACCCCTTACCACCGAGTGTGAAGATTTCTCAACTCCCAAATTAAAGGAGCCACAATATAATCAGACCTTTATTAATCCATCTTTATTTAAGAGGCTGCTCTTGCAGCTGTCATTTATTTCTAGGATGCTATTTAAGGCAGCTTTTGTCTCAGTGACACTACCTTCACACCTCACCAAGTTTTTCACCATGTTCTTGGAAAGCAGACAAATGCATTGCATAGGCAAACAAACAGAACCTCTCATCTGCAGATTCACTTGTCCTGAGGGCCAACCTGCTAAATGCATAGAGACAAGAGTAGCATCTGCATGGAAGGCTGGATGTTAATTTCAGGTTTTATCCTCTTGTTTCTCAGAGAAGTATTCGCCTTTTTTGATGAAGGTACCTTGGAGCTGATGAGTGGAATAATTGCTTCCAGGGCGGTGGAGACTAGAGAGATGATCTGCTCTGGATTCTGCCGATGAACTTCACTGTAGAACTGGGCTAGCCAATGAGAGTAAGCCTGCAATGCTGCCAGCGACTGAGCATGGCTGGAAGGAGGGAGAGACAGTTATAACAAAGATGTGATAAAGGGCATTCCAGAAGGACCACAACAGGATGGCAGAAGTCTCGAATACAGTAAAGTTGCTCTGATGATGTATTACGGAGAGGCACTTTTTTCCCCGGAGTTAAGGTGGACAATAGCTTTTCCCATTATAAGACATCCAGAACTGTCCATGTCTGAAGTTTAACATGTGCATTAGAATTTCTGGAAATTTTAAGGCAAACTGGACCTGACTTTTTTGAGAGAGAGAAAAATAGGACGACTGCACTTCTGGAACATTTCCAGAACTTCCTTTGGCACAACAGTTGGCCAAGCTTCATAGAATCATAGAATATCAGGGTTGGAAGGGACCTCAGGAGGTCATCTAGTCCAACCCCCTGCTCAAAGCAGGACCAATCCCCAATTTTTGCCCCAGATCCCTAAATGGCCCCCTCAAGGATTGAACTCACAACCCTGGGTTTAGCAGGCCAATGCTCAAACCACTGAGCTATCCCTTCCCCCTAAAACTCTTTGGTATGTGCTTCATAGAATATCGGGGCTGGAAGGGACCTCAGGAGGTCACCTGGTCCTCAAAGCAGGACCAATCCCCAATTATTACCTCAGATCCCTAAATGGCCCCTTCAAGGATTGAACTCACAACCCTGGGTTTAGCAGGCCAATGCTCAATCCACTGAGCTATCCCTCCACCTCTAAGCTTGATTCAATCTGATTGAAACCACACTCATGGCCATATTTAAGCACCTGATAAGGCCAGATATCTGTCTCGTTTGTAACGGTTTTTATTAGGTGTGCATGTGGGAGGAAATAAAAGCAATTTATGGTGACATGATGAATTCTGTAGAGTTCTTAACTCCGCATAGCTTCAATGGTAGCAGCCACAACAGGGATGGAGGGGCAGAAGCAGCATGCAGTCAAGATGGGAGAATGGGGAGGGACACTAGACCGTCTCTTGCCCATGTGAAGAGTGGGTACCCCTCTAGCAGTCTAGGGACTACTCCCCAAACCAGCTAGTTTCATTTTACGTGTCCTATCCCTATGTACCTATCCACTTGACTGGTGGTAGAAAGGGAACCCTGCTCCCGGGACAGTTTGGGGGCTGGCCCCACACAGGTTGGAGACTGCAGGACTCCCATCACTGAACAATTCAATATATATTTTAGACACCTAAGGAAATTCCCAGCCTGGGAACTTTAAGGTAAATTTTAAGACTAAACACCTATCAGTTACTTACAGGGGACTCCCTTGAGAATGTTCTAGTCCACACAAACACCTCCCCCCCCCCCCCCCCAAACATTACAAAGCCTGAAAATTCAACGCAAAGGCTGTACTTAAGTCACTTGAAAGTTTGGAGCTGAATACTCCAAATACTTGGATTGAAAGTATACTTGAAGTTTTTCAATCCACCTTAACTCTGCCCATAGAACTGAAAACTAAGCAATACTCTGAGCCTCAAGGTTGCAGATATCACAACATCAAACACTGACCAGTAACTTAACTGGTCTATCAACCAGAATACGGAAGTCAAGTCTGCACACTTCCACATCTTTTAAATAGAAGGGAGTCTTTAAATAACTACAGTAAGCTTTTCTTCCGAGCCAGATGCAGTCAAACAAAGTGCTGCACCTTTCACTGAAAGACACCTGGTTAGATTCATTCCCCAGGAGTTTACAGGATTTCAAACGTGAAAGTTGTCATACAGCAAGACTTAAGACCTTGTTTGTAAAACTATGAAGATGGAGGGTTGGACCAAAAATTAGAGCGCTTACATGCCAAGGACTCCTGGCGGTGGGCTTCACATGGGCAGATATTCTATGCATTAAACCATAGCCCCACACTCCAGCATTCCCTCTATGTAGCTGGCACAATGTGCAAATAAAGCACATGGAGCAGATTTGTAAGATCTCTGCTGCCTGTGGCAGCAAACTGAATGGCTTTATCAAAACCTCCATCCCACTGTTGGGTGTCCACAGGGGGAAGGTGAGCAGAGAAAGAAGTTTACATCTTGCTGACTTTAGGTTTATCTTAATTTTGTATTGCCAAGATAATGTTTGTTTCTTGTTGTTTTAAACTGCGCACCTCCCTCAGTGTCTACAGCTTATCTCTAGACTATTTTTGCCAGGGATTATCACATGAATTGGGAGTTCAATCAACAGTAAATAAGTTCAGTTACTTTAAAATGTTGCCTTTGCCAGGGCCATCCCTAGCCATTTGGGTAAACTACGGCCCCGGGTCTGGGAGGCAGGAGCTGTGGGGGTGCACTTTGGGGGGCTCCACAGGCCCATAGTAGCCAGGAGGATTAGTGGGGGACCGGGAGCAGCCCGGTCCACTTCCCTTGCCCAGGCCCCAGCTGTGTCGCTCGGGGAAGGGATCCCACCCCCACACTCACTGTCAGCGGCAGGAAGTGGAGCAGCCTGGCCCCAGCCAGCTCTACTTCGCCAACTCCCAGCCGCAGGGCTCCGCTTCCCGCCACTGGTGAGTCGGTGGGGCGGGGGACCTTTTCCTAACCACCCCCACAGCGACACGGCTGGGGCTGGGGCAAGGGAAGTGGAGAGGGCTGGGGCCACGTCGCTCCGCTTCCCGCTGCCGGCGAGTGCGGGGGACGTCCTTTCCCCAACCTCCCTGCACTCACTGGCAGCGAGAAGTGGAGCGCCGCAGCTGGGAGCTGGCGGAGTGGAGCGGGCTGGGGCCGGGTTGCTCCGCTTTCCGCCGCTGCCGGTGAGTAAGGGGTCACTGGAGGAAGAGGTAGAATGGGGGTGGGCCGGGGTAGAGCGGGGGGGAGGGTAAGAGGTGTGGTGGAGGGAGTTGTCCGGGGCCCCACACTCCCCTAGGGACAGCCCTGCCCCTTGCAGTGGGCGCAGCCCATGGGGTTGGGGGGGGGGGAGGGGGCAGCCAGGGGATAGGGCTTGTGTTGCTGCATATGCAGCACGCAGCTGCCTAGGACACCACGCAATTTCAGGCAATTTGGTGCCCCAAATTTCATGGTGCCCTACGCAGCTGCGTATGCCTGAGGACGGCACTGGCATTTGCCCTAGTACCTGCACCCACCAAGTGCGTTGAGATAGGTTGCATAACTGCACCCTTGTGCTATTATAGCTCCACTGTGCATCTGTCAGGAGTACAGGAAAGTTAGCAAGAGGTTAAATTAAAATAAACTGCTGGATTGGTGTTTCAAGTGCTCTGTTTCAGGCTCAATGCCATGTCAAAAGCAACAGACCAGAATGATCCTCACTGATAGTGCTGAGGGAAAGAAGATGGAGGTGAAAGTTACACAACTTAAGAACATGTTGTAGTGGGGAAGGTTTAGGTTGGATATTGGGGAAAAATTTTTCACTAGCAGGATGGTGAAGCACTGGAATGGGGTTACCTAGGGAGGTGGTGGAATCTCCCTCCTTAGAGGTTTTTAAGGTCAGTCTTGACAAAGCCCTGGCTAGGATAATTTAGTTGGGGTTGGTCCTGCTTTGAGCAGGGGGTTGGACTAGATGACCTCCTGAGGTCCCTTCCAACCCTGATATTCTATGAACATAAGAACGGCCATACTGGGTCAGGCCAAAGGTCCATCTAGCCCAGTATCCTGTCTTCCGATAGTAGCCAATGTCAGGTGCCCCAGAGGGAATGAACCGAACAGGTAATCATCAAGTGATCCATCACCTGTCGCTCATTCCCAGCTTCTGGCAAACAGAGGCTAGGGACACTATCCCTGCCTATCCTGGCTAACGGCCATTGATGGACCTATCCTCCATGAATTTATCTAGTTCTTTTTTGAACCCTGTTATGGTCTTGGCCTTCACAACATCCTCTGGCAAGGAGTTCCACAGGCTGACTGAGCATTGTGTGAAGAAACACTTCCTTTTGTTTGTTTTAAATCTGCTGCCTATTAATTTCATTTAGTGACCCCTAGTTCTTGTGTTATGAGAAGTAGTAAATAACATTTCCTTATCTACTTTCTCTACACCAGTCATGATTTTATAGACCTCAATCTTATCTCCCCTTAACTTCAGTAACAGACTGAAATAAGCATGGCTTAAATTGATGTCAGACTAGAGCAATATGGATTTCTGCTTTGATTGACAGGAGGATTGGAATTATTGATAGCAAGTAGATGAAAACAGGCCAACAAATCCAGAAGAATTCCAGACTGGCAGGGCTGTTATGAGAAAGGGACAATAGAGCTATTTAACATGGAAAAGTTAAGCTTGGTTTGAACCTAATGTAAGCAACACTAAGTTTGGATTAATAGCAGAGAGACTCAGGGGACTATGTGATAAAACCAAATTACCAGCATGGAATCACTGAAGTTTGATACATGCAATCACAAATCAAAAGAAACTTTTCAAAAGGACATGTTTAAACCCTGCTCACAAGGTCAGCTGGTAGAAAAAGGCATGTTCAACAGAGCAGAATGGAGAGATGAAGACCATTAAAGTGGTATTCTATTTTAAATGTGGAGTCTCTTCAAGTTTTAACTTGTGGATCAAATTTCCTCATTTTATAACTTGATAGAAATGGGTTTTATAGATTACAAAGGCACATACTCATCCTGAAATCTGAGAATTAATCTGTGTTCTGGCTCATGTACCAAACAGTAATAAAGATTGAGGACTAAATTCCCATCCTTAGTGACACCCATGCAAGTGCATTATCTGAAGTGGGATTGCAGAATTTAGCAGAGGGCAGCATTTAGCTCTGGAATTTTAACTTGGTTACCAGTTCTGCTGATGCCTGGGCCAGAATAGAACCTGGCTCACTTTCCCATAGTAGTACAGGCACTAACAGAAGTAACAAAATATTTGCTACATAAGTCCAGACTACATACCCAGAGCAGGCATGTAAGATGCTACCATTTTTACATGATTACTTTAATTACCCTAACACTTCAAGAGAACTGAGCTTCCTTGTGGTCAGTACAAGGTGTATTATGGGCTGTTATCACTGCTTTGCATTTAGAGCCAACATGGGAGCTGTTTTTCATCTCTGACCCTAACTGATCTTTTTTTTAATTTAAATCTCATATGAATGGAACTAGGCAGCTGGGCTACGAACATGAATTGGCGGAAACAGTGGTCTGAGTACGAAGAGCAGCTGGTTAGCCTTGATCTGGGGACTGTGACCATAAAGCTTCTTCATGGTCAGCTAGGAGACACTGGAGGATAAATGTGTATCACCTGGCATGGAAAGTAAGTGGAGAAAAATACTGACAAGTCCTTGGGATTCCAATGCTTCCCCACTAGGGAAAAGAAATAAGGGACCTAAATTCAGACACTTCCACTCATGATTTTTGGTCCTGTGAACACCAATAGCAGGAAAACCCTTTGGAAGCCTACGGTATAATTTTGGTTTTGCAGTAAAAGTCTCATACTCACACGTCAATAAGGTCAGGTTTCAATACAGATGGCACAGCAGTTTCAATGTTGTACAGTTTAATCTGGGACCCGTACAGTGTTACCTTGACCAGCCTGCCAATGAAGAAGCAAATCAAGGAGTGTGTAGGAATTGTAAAATACAGATATGCATGTACATAAAGAACAACCAGAATATACTTTATCGTAACATGGCACTCAGCTAGACTGCACACTGACTAAATGCTCTCTCTCTCTCTCTCACACACACACACACACTCTCACTCTAGATTGTCTAGCACAACAGGGCCATTTAGACCAAGTCTGCTTGTGATGCAAGGGAATAGGTACAGTATTTCTGAATGTAAGCACAGGGCTATGTATAAGCTGTGTTTAAACATATGCTTATTTGGGAGTTGAGAAGAGTCAAATGGAAATCTGATTTCCAGCTCTTACATGTACTTTATCAGACAGACAGACATCCAACGGAGATTTTGTTTTGGGTGATGAATACCTGAAGTAATTAAATTATATCCTCAGTTCCATTAATCAGAATAGCTGCAGTTACACCATAAGAGTGGACTCGACTTCCCCAATAATTGTTCAGAATTAAGCAATAATTGATTACTTAGATGTTCATCTCTAAAATATGTATTTAAAGGATTACAGGAGTATATTTGAGAAATTTAGCACTGGTGAAGCAATACCTCTGGCATTTGGTAGACTGGCATTCCAGTTACTCTGTTGCAGAAGGTAGTTTGTGTTTTTTGCTATTCATTGTGGGGGTGGCAGGCCTTAAAAGTCGTAAACAGTTCCTCTGCACTGGTGGAGGAATGGCAGCACTATTCCCTGATGCAGTAACCTTTTGCCTACCTCTCCACTACTGTAAGGGCATCGTTGAACCGGGCAGCAAAAACATCCCCAATAAAGTACTCGGCTAAACGGCCAACAGCCTGCAGCAGGGAACTAAGGTCTCGTAGGGAGCAGTGCAAGCGTCGGCAGTCATTCTCTGCAGTGATATTCAGCCTCTGACCTGAAATGACATTGTGGTCCGTTAGCCATAAAGCAAGGCAAGATTCAAGTGTAAACGCTCTTCGGTTTGCTGTTAACCATTGATTAACATTCAGGCAGTTTGGAGTGTCTCCCTCCCTCTCTCTCCCCCTCAAATATTATAAAATTAAAGCACAAAGCACATGTAACCTATATCTGTAATAAATACAGCTCTTTCAGATGAGAAACCCAATTATGTAACTACAGGAAATGCAGACTTTGTGCTAACTTAATTACAAGCAGTCTCTTTAAATTAACTATCCCATGGGTCACAGTTCAGCTCTGAGCACCATACAAATGATGGAAAGAATGAATAAAATAAGTTTAAATGGACGCTGTCAAATATAGTTTTTGCAGATAGATTTAAGTTCTCACTGCCCATCATTGTAATTCTCTTTAAAGAAGACTGAAAATAAAGTTCCCCAGCCATTTTGCTTTGTTTGGATGAAAGTGTAGCTAACAGAAGTCTTTTTTTGGTTACTGTTTGACATGAAAAAAAATGAAGATCCCAGCTCTGGGAATAAGGTTGCTAGTTTGGCTCCCTCTGCTGTTTGTCTGTATAGCAACAGAGTACAAAAATTCCTAGAAAAACAACAACAAAACCACATTTGTAACCTGGGTGAATTAAATTCAGAGGCAAACACAATGTGTGGCTAACTATCTACAGTCACAGCACCCAGATACATGCAACATACTGAATCCTGGAATTTTGTTTTCATAGACTAGGCTATAACACGATATGGATAACGTAGATGTTTATTTCTATTTTTCCAGTAGTACAGTGTCACCTAGCATGGGACACTCTGCTGGAAAATACATATTATAATGCACAGGCCTAAGGACAATGAGGACAGCTGAAGAATTTTCCTTGCTTTCCTTTCAATTGTTCAGACAACAATTGAACATTAAAACAACGTATTTTTTCACTCATGCCAATTTAGTCTCAGCACTGATGTTGAAATGTAGGAGCTATTTCCATCAAGATTGCAAGATGTGAAACTGCTAAAACAGGCACTTTATAGTATGATCCTGAAGCTGTACTTGAGTCTAAGCTGTCTGCTCTGATCCATGCCCTTCTTAGATGAAAAGCCAGTTCCTGAACCAACTTCTGTTATACACCTGTCTATAAGCCTTCCATGAACATGTGTAGTGACAGTTCTAGGTCGGAAGAGGCCATAAACCTGGGTGCAGAACATAATCCACAAATTGCTAATATCTGGCATGGTAAGCTTCTGGAGCCTTGTCTGTGCAATAAATCACTGTACTCTACTGACCCACTGGGGCAGCCAGAGTACCAGAAAAAAATACTTGGGAGCCAGGGCCAGAATTGTAACAGTTAAACAGCTTAGAAGTAATGAAGCTTTCCATCAGCATACACTGCAGTGATTTAGTGCATTTAAAATGCGCATATTTTAATATATTAGGTGGTTTGTGTTCAACTTCTCTAAGTGATGATGTGGATAACATGAACGTCTTGTGATATTTAGCATACAGCAGATTTTTCTAACAGCCATGTCAGAAGGCTTAATGAAGTGATACATTCTAAAGGGTTAAAAACATGTGTCTAGCTAGTATAAATTGTACACCCCCCAATTAAATCTCTCAACCAGTTAATATCCCCCACCCACCCACCCTTTCCTCAGCTGTCAAACAGCTAGCCCACAAGGCGAGCCAACAGCCTGAAAGAGGGTCCTGTTTCTCTCTTCGGGATTAAACTCTTTTGGTAGGTTGGGAATAGTTTTATTCCTTCTTCCCACCAAGACACACAGGCTCTTGGAATGGCAGTTAGCAGAGAGTCACAAACTAGCCTAAATGCCACTGTCTCCTTGATCTTCTCATTCAAGTATTCTCAACTAATTTTCATTTAATCCTAAACAAAAATGCTTCCACATTCTGAGAGCTTGATTCTGAGTTTAAGCCCAAACCAAATTAAAACGAGCCCTTTCTGAATGGAGTTTCCAGTGGAAAAGCTGACAGTCATTTACCTATATCAACCATGCTACATCTCTGTGCTTCCCACCAGTCTTCCTGTTTCAAGTACCAGAATCCATGAGAAAACATATCAATATAAACCATATTTCTAACCAGAAAGCAGATTCCTCAGAGAACAAACACCAAACTCATATTTCTGAATGCTGAGCCCTTATGCAGTGTGTGTAAGCATCCAGGTGTGAAGAATTTTAGGGTTAACCTCTAGAATATTGATGCTGAAGTAGTAATGGACAGTTTGACAGCAAGCAAGAGCTTAATGCATGAATACAACATTTTTACAGCTAAGTAAGTGTATAAAGAACTCAGAAATGTAACACTGGAGAGTGGTATTACCTGTCCCTGAAGTGACCACAAACTGCTGTAGTCCCAGGTATACTTCCAAGTTATCCTGCAGAACTGGGAACTGGGAAAAAAAGGGACACAACACAAAGGTGTGATTTTAATGTTAAAGCAGAGAGACTTAATGCTTCTCCATTCAATTAATTTGGGCCAGAGGACAATTACTTCCAATTTTCTCCTCCTTCTCCCCATAATTAGTCTTACAAAAGGAATTTGGAAGAAGGGAAGGATTGTAGGTTCTGGAGGATTTGATGCCCTACGCTTTTCTATTCTAGACAGCTAGCATCAAAACCAGAAAGTCCCTGTGTTAGAGAAATTCCTCAAGTAACAGCTGTCCTTTCCACATCAACACTGGTAGTCAATGCTGACATGACTGGCTACCTGAGAAGAGCAGTGGTGGTGCAGTACACCATGTTGCTAGTCATTACTGAAATGCACATGCAGCCCTGCACGGGACCCTGGGTGAAAAGAAGGTGGGGTTGCAGATCAGGATTGAGGTGCACATGCAGGGATGGGTGTGGAAAGCTTGCATTGCACCATCTACATCAGCTTGTCCTCTTTAAAACGGTTAAAAATGCCACCCCCAATATCTTCCACTGGAGAGAGAGGGAAAAAAAAGGTGGAGTCCAAGCGTTTTCAGTCCTTCCTTGATGCAGCATATGGGGGAATGTTGCAGCCACTCTGCTAACAAGCTGCTAACTATAACACAAGTGGATGGATACCCACAAAGAAAGGAACCAAGGGAATGAACATCCTGTGTAAGAGGCTATCTCCGAGGCCAAGTATTCAGAGCATTGAACTCCCCCATAACACAAAAGTCACTGGCAAGCTGCATTACCAATTACTAGGAACACTAACTTGCCAACGTGAAGGGAGATGCTACACACAAAACAGAGTGTAGGAAATATCTTGGCTGGTTCCCCAACAGACCATGTTACTCTAGAAGTGCATACTGTAGGGTATTCACATTTCTAGTGGCTAAGTCAACCCTAGTGTATTCAGTTGGAACTCAAGATCTAGCTTTTCTAACAGATATATCCGGGAAGGGGGGGAGAGAGAGGCCCTTTTCCATTCCTTTTAACCTGTAATAATTCTCCTCCGATTCCTACAAGCAAGGACAGAGGTTTACGAACAAGAACTTTCTCCTGCTTTGAATGCAGTCAAAAGTACACATGGCTAAGGCTGCAAGTCTGTCACGGATTCAGTGATTTATGGGACCTCTGTGACTTCTGCAGCCACCAGTGCGACTGACCCCAGGGCTACCCAAGCCAGCCACATTGGCCATTGCTGGGGCAGTCTTGGGCTACTGTCCCCCCCCCCCCCCAGCCCTACCCTCAGCGATGGTCCCGGGCCACCCTCTGCCCCAGAGCATCAGCAGTTCCCTGGTCCGCCCCCTGCTCCTCCTCCAAAGCGTCCCTGGTACCCTCCCTCTAGAACACCCCCAGCACCCCACCTCCAGAGCACCCAAGATTTAGCCAGGGGGTATATAGTACAAGTCATGGACAGGTCACAGGCCATGAATTTTTGTTTACTGCCCTTGACCTGTCCACGACTTTTACCAAAAATACCCATGACTAAATCTTAGCCTTATGCATGGCTTATGCTAATATATAATAATAATATAATATTATAATAGTTTTAGCAGCTTAACTCTTGGGACTTTATTGGCACTTCTCTTCTCTACACAAACCTAGATATCCCCTCTGCTGAAGTGTGGTCATTCACTCCCCAGTGCCAGACACCACATGCAGAACGTCCAACAGATTAGAGACACGATGTACAGTCACTCAGTTTATTCTAAAGCAGTGGTTCCCAAACTTTAACAACCTGTGAACCCCTTTCACTAATATGTCAAGCCTCTTGAACCCCCTCCTAAAAATGAATATTTCCAGGGATTTTCTCCTTTACCGGAGTATAAATTATAAAAGCAGTGATCTTGGAAATATAAAATTTATTTTTATATCATGCTTATTACACACTATTTATTATTAATTATTATTCATCATTATCGTATTTTTATTACATTATGAAAACGGCAACACTGTTCCAAGATCTCACTTTCATAGCTTGTATCACCTTTGAATAAGCCTGTTATAAGACAAGCCTCCTGTGTTTCATCAAGGAGTATCAGATGTGAAACAGCATGAAGGTATTTAAGAAGCCAACTCAAAAGAGTTCCTCCTACATACGCATTCAGGTCTTGAGCAGTCCAGGCACACAACACACGTTACTACAAAGCTTAAACTTGTTTTTCATAATAATTTTAAAAACAATACTAGCTGCCTATTTAATTTTAAAAACAGCAAAAAATATCCACCTCCTTTTCCATTTCTTATAAGGAGCCTTGAAGTTTAATTCTCCTCAGTGTGATAGATATGCTTGCTTTGATCTGCTTAGCTCTTGAAGTCCAGGGGCTCTGGGCTGCTGGTCCCATGCTCCCTAGGGACAACTCTGTCCACCCTTAGGGAACTTTTTCCCAAGAACCCCCTGTAACATTTCGCGAACCCCAGTTTGGGAACCATTGTTCTAGAATCAATTTCACTTACTGATTTGTGGTCTAAAGGCTGGTCACATGTTACAAGAGCATTTCACAGACTACTGTAACATGCGTATGAGACTCATTAAGTGTTTCTTGGTGTTATCTAATGTCCTAGAATGAACTGAGCAGGGCTCTAAGGAAAGATACTTGATACTGAAACAGGAGCTCCTATGAAGGAACACAGCCACACGGTTAGAACTTTTTTTAAAAGTCCAATATTAACAACACAGAGAAAGGTTTTTTAAAACCATGTGTTCCTCACCAAATGCTGTTTGCTTTCTGCATTTCACCCTGCGCTTACAGTGAAAGGAAACGAAGCCCTTTCACTTTTGTTTGTATTAAGGTTCACTAGCTGACTCATGCATTAACAATGTGCTGCAAACACTGCAGGGGAACATTTCTTTTCATACAAACAATTTTTCATTGGAATTAAACAGAAATCTTTCCATGACTTTTTAGCACTAGTCTTAGAAAAGATTTTCACAAACATGCTTTTGGTATTTGACAATGTCCCTTTAGATGAAATACCAGTATGTGCAACGATAAGACAAAGCAAGTGAGCTTCAGGCTCTTCTCCCAAACACAAGTTTTCTGCGTTGCACGGAATGTGTTCCATGCCTTCAGATGTGTAGTCAGCTCCATGACATAGCAAAGTAGAATAATGACACATTCTCAGGTGATCCTAGTGAGTTCAGACACCTTTTCTTCCCATCCAGAAAGAGCACTGAACAATACTAATTGTTACACTTCTGAACCCAATAGTTTCATTCTCCAAGATTAGCAGCTTGAGAACCACTCTAACTGATTTTCTCCCACACAGCTACAAGAAAAGGCTATTTCACAGCACTGCCATCTTAATAAAGACCAAGATAGCGACATTGTCACAGACGGAGAAGACAAATTTTCAGTAGGGCTGTCAAGTGATTAAAAGAATTAATCACGATTAATCACATTGTTAAACAATAATGGAATACCATTTATTTAAATATTTTTGGATATTTTCTACATTTTCAAAACATTCTTGATTTCAATTATAACAGAATACAAAGTGTACAGTGCTCACTTTATATTTTTGATTACAAATATTTGCACTAAAAACAAAATAGTATTTCTCAATTCACTTCATACAAGTATTGTAGTGCAATCTCGATCATGAAAGTTGAACGTACAAATGTAAACTTATGTACAAAAAATAACTGCATTGAAAAATAAAACAATGTAAAACTTTAGAGCCTACAAGTCCACTCGGTCCTACTTCAGCCAACCCCTCAGACAAACAAACTTGGTTACAATTTGCAGGAGATAATGCTGCCTGCTTGTTGTTTACCATGTCACCTGAAAGTGAGAACAGTCGTTTGCATGGCACTGTTTTAGCCAGCATCACAAGATATTTAAATGCTAGATGTGCTAAAGAGTCATATATCCCTTCATGCTTCAGCCACCTTTCCAGGAAACATGCGTCCATGCTGATGACAGATTCTACTCGATAACAATCCAAAGCAGTGCAGACCAACGTATGTTCATTTTCATTATCTGAGTCCGATACCACCAGCAGAAGGTTGATTTTCTTTTTTGGTGGTTTGGGTTCTGTAGTTTTTGCATCAGAGTGTTGCTCTTTTAAGACTTCTGAAAGCATGCTCCACACCTCATCCCTCTCAGATTTTGGAAGGCACTTCAGATTCTTCAACCTTGGGTCAAGTGCTCTAGCTATCTTTAGAAATCTCACTTTGGCACCTTCTTTGCATTTTGTCAAATCTTCAGTGAAAGTGTTTTTAAAATGAACAACATGTGCTGGGTCATCATTCGAGACTGCTATAACATGTAATATATGGCAGAAGGCAGGTAAAATAGCAAGGGACATACAGTTCTCCCCCAAGGAGTTCAGTCACAAATTTAATTAACGTATTTTTTTAACAAGCGTCATCAGCATGGAAGCATGTCCTCTGGAATGGTGGCCTAAGCATGAAGGGGCATATGAATGTTTAGCATATCTGGCACATAAATACCTTGCAATGCCAGCTACAAAAGTGCCATGCAAATGCCTGTTCTCACTTTCAAGTGACATTGTATATAAGAAGCAAACAGCAGCAACTCTGTAAATGTAAACAAACTTGTCTGTCTTAGTGATTGGCTGAACAAGTAGGAGGACTGAGTGGACCTGTAGGCTCTAAAGTTTTACTTTTTTTTTTGAGAGCAGTTATGTAACAAAAAACTCTACATTTGTAAGTTGCACTTTCATGATAAAGAGATTGCACTACAGTACTTGTATGAGGTGAATTAAAAAACTATTTCTATTTCTTTTATCATTTTTACAGTGCAAATATTTGTAATAAAAATAATATAAAGTGAGCACTGTGCACATTGTATTCTGTGTTGTATTAGAAATAAGTATATTTGAAAATGTAGAAAAACATCCCAAAATATTTAATAAATTTCAACTGGTATTCTATAGTTTAACAGCGCGATAACTCACATGATTAACTTGAAAAGATTAATCGTGAGTAAACTGCGATTAATTGACAACCCTAATTTTCAGTACTTCTTGCTTCTGCCTCCCTGTGGTTTGCAGAGCCCCATCTCCTATGATCTTCATCTATGTACTGCCATGTATTTTGAGTTAACATTCCACCCTCCTGGGAACATCATCTCACCATTTGCCTTATGTGCAGCACCTCCACCTTATGGAAAGGCCAGGATGAATATGCTGAAGGTCACAGCAGAGTGTGCAGCTCTGTCCCAGTTTTCACCTCTGGACTGATCCAAATTTCAAATGCCCCTGTACATTCAGTGAGTGAGGCACAAAAGTGTGCTCTGGCATGCTCTTCAAGATATGGTAGAAAACTTCTCAAAGCCCAGAAGAAAATCTGAAGCTTTCCCCTTTTAAATTTATGGCCTGGATTTTACCAAGTTTTGAATCCAAAAGCACATCCCTGTGCCTCTTCTCCGTAAGCATTGCACAGCAACCTACCAGTGTTTGTACAACAAAATCTTGAGAGCGGAGATCATGTCATATGGTGTAAAGCTGCTTCATCTCGGCTTCTCAGCAGAATGACTACTTACTAGTGTAGAGAAGGCATGAGTCGGCAGGAGCTCCATGACTTTTGCCACTACTTCTAGGCTCTGGCGTAAGTACCGCTGCCACTCAGTCTGCTGCTGTGTGGAGAAAGAACACCTCTTATTTCCCTCCAAGCGGAAACAGCTGACCTATATTTAACAAGCTGGTAGGCTGTAAGTACTTGAGAAATGATTAACTTGTACCTACCAGGGTTTAGCTTCTGTCTGAACATCTGAGAATTGAAACAATACAGTTTATAGAAGTTTCCTACTTTGTCAGCAATCTGAGCTGGAGTTAAGATTTGCAAGTTTTCATTGACAAATGCTGTTGTTAACTATGCTAAGTAATTGTGCATCCAGGTCATATCACTTTCTGGCCTTCTAGTAATTGGGGTGTCCTTTATTAGTCTGTATGCTCTTATCCTGGAACGCATCAGTGTTTTTCTAGAGCACATTTTCAAACATTGTCTTCCATTTAAACATGCCCTCCCTTGATAAAAGGACCAATATCAAATAACGACTAAGTGTCTGCATGTGTAATATGACAACAGTGTCCCAAATCAAAGAACCAATTTCTGCCTTGGTCTAAAAAAAGGGTGTATTTTAAAAACACAGAGGAACTAAACCCAACTCCTACAAACAATGGTTATTGCAGAAGTATACATAAGATCAGTTTCTCTATAGCAAAATAGACTGACTGTACTCTAACAGCCTGGTTTCCCTCTGCGACAAGCCCACAATTTGTTTTACTTTTCACAGCCTGTCAAGGTTCCTCCCCCACTCTGAACGCTAGGGTACAGATGTGGGGACCTGCATGAAAACCTCCTAAGCTTATCTTTACCAGTTTAGGTCAAAACTTCCCCAAGGTACAAAATATTCCACCCTTTGTCCTTGGATTGGCCGCTACCACCACCAAACAAATACTGGTTACTGGGGAAGAGCTGTTTGGAAATGTCTTTCCCCCCAAATACTTCCCAAAACCTTGCACCCCACTTCCTGGACAAGGTTTGATAAAAAGCCTCACCAATTTGCCTAGGTGACTACAGCCCCAGACCCTTGGATCTTAAGAACAATGAACAATCCTCCCAACACTTGCACCCCCCCCTTTCCTGGGAAATGTTGGATAAAAAGCCTCACCAATTTGCATAGGTGACCACAGACCCAAACCCTTGGATCTGAGAACAATGAAAAAGCATTCAGTTTTCTTACAAGATGACTTTTAATAGAAATAGGAGTAAATAGAAATAAAGAAATCCCCTCTGTAAAATCAGGATGGTAGATACCTTAGAGGGTAATTAGATTCAAAACATAGAGAATCCCTCTAGGCAAAACCTTAAGTTACAAAAAAGATACACAGACAGAAATAGTTATTCTATTCAGCACAATTATTTTCTCAGCCATTTAAAGAAATCATAATCTAACACATACCTAGCTAGATTACTTACTAAAAGTTCTAAGACTCCATTCCTGGTCTATCCCCAGCAAAAGCAGCATATAGACAGACAGAGACCCTTTGTTTCTCTCCCTCCTTCCAGCTTTTGAAAGTATCTTGTCTCCTCATTGGTCATTTTGGTCAGGTGCCAGCGAGGTTACCTTTAGCTTCTTAACCCTTTACAGGTGAGAGGAGTTTTCCTCTGGCCAGGAGGGATTTTAAAGGGGTTTACCCTTCCCTTTGTATTTATGACATAGCCTCTTTACCCAACCCAGCCATATCATTAAGGACCAGCTTACTCATCACTCTAAATCATCATCTAGACTCACTACAGCTACCACGTCACTTCAGAGAAGAAAAACCATATGCAAATGACAGGTTTCAGAGTAACAGCCGTGTTAGTCTGTATTCGCAAAAAGAAAAGGAGTACTTGTGGCACCTTACAGACTAACCAATTTATTTGAGCATAAGCTTTTGTGAGCTACAGCTTAGTCTCTAAGGTGCCACAAGTACTCCTTTTCATATGCAAATGGAAAGAGTAGAGTTCAAATGGCTCTTAAATTAAAGCTGATTTTTTTCTGTTTCCTTTTATCTGCTGCACTATAATGGAAATTCTCTGCCTCCACTGTAGGCTAAAAACAGTCAGGCAGGACAGCAACACAAAGTCCATTAGTGAAAACATTTCATCCTTCTTTCAACCTCAAAACCCACACAGCACTGTTGCTTCATGCACATAACAGCTGCCTAGAACTGAATATACTTCTGCACGTAAAATCTAGGTTCAGAGAGGCTAAGTGGGGAATCATAGCGCTGCTGATCCCTTAATGCTCTTGATTTGGAATGGTTGGGATGCTGACAAGTTGCTTAGACACATGTATTATCCCAGCAGCACTGAAACTGTTGATACAGGTTTCAGAGTAGCAGCCATGTTAGTCTGTATTCCCAAAAAGAAAAGGAGTACTTGCGGCACCTTAGACACTAACCAATTTATTTGAGCATAAGCTTTCGTGAGTTACAACTCAGTTCATCGGAGCTGTAGCTCACGAAAGCTTATGCTCAAATAAATTGGTTAGTCTCTAAGGTGCCGCAAGTACTCCTTTTCTTGTTAAGATACAAGAGATGTCAGCAAGAGGTGAAAATTACTAGGGTGAAATAGTGGTCTAGCCTGTATGTTGAAAAAGTGACCAGATCCTGGAAGGTTTCAGAGGAACAGCCGTGTTAGTCTGTATTCGCAAAAAGAAAAGGAGTACTTGTGGCACCTTAGAGACTAACCAATTTATTTGAACATAAGCTTATGTGAGCTACAGCTCACTTCATCGGATGCCTTCAGTGGAAAATACAGAAGATGTTTTTATACACACAAATCATGAAAAAACGGGTGTTAATCACTACAAAAGGTTTTCTCTCCCCCGACCCCACTCTCCTGTTGGTAATAGCTGATCTAAAGTGATCACTCTCCTTACAATGTGTATGATAATCAAGGTGGGACATTTCCAGCACAAATCCAGGGTTTAACAAGAATGTCTGAGGAACAGTGACTGATTAAGATGCAGGATTGCAAACCCCGAGCACTTGAAAAATCATGAGTTGGGTTAAAAAAACCCTACAAGATTTTTTAAAAAGTCACCTACTACAGGACAGGCCTAACAAAGAAAATAACAGAACGCCACTAGCCGTCACCTTCAGCCCCCAACTAAAACCCCTCCAATGCATTATCAGGGACCTACAACCTATCCTGAAGGATGACCCAACTCTCTCACAAATCTTGGGAGACAGGCCAGTCCTTGCCTACAGACAGCCCCCCAACCTGAAGCGAATACTCACCAGCAACCACATACCACACAACAGAACCACTAACCCAGGAACCTATTCTTGCAACAAAGCCCGTTGCCAACTGTGCCCACATATCTATTCAGGGGACACCATCACAGGGCCTAATAACATCAGCCACACTATCAGAGGCTCGTTCACCTGCACATCCACCAATGTGATATATGCCATCATGTGCCAGCAATGCCCCTCTGCCATGTACATTGGTCAAACTGGACAGTCTCTACGTGAAAGAATAAATGGACACAAATCAGATGTCAAGAATTATAACATTCATAAACCAGTCGGAGAACACTTCAATCTCCCTGGTCACGCGATTACAGACATGAAAGTTGCGATATTACAACAGAAAAACTTAAAATCCAGACTCCAGCGAGAGACTGCTGAATTGGAATTCATTTGCAAATTGGATACAATTAACTTAGGCTTGAATAGACACTGGGAGTGGCTAAGTCATTATGCAAGGTAACCTATTTCCCCTTGTTTTCCTAACCCCCCCCCCCCCCCTTCCTCAGACGTTCTTGTTAAACCCTGGATTTGTGCTGGAAATGGCCCACCATGATCATCATACACATTGTAAGGAGAGTGATCACTTTACATAAGCTATTACCAGCAGAAGAGTGGGGTGGGGGGAGAGAAAACCTTTTGTAGTGATTAACACCCATTTTTTCATGATTTGTGTGTATAAAAACATCTTCTGTATTTTCCACAGTATGCATCCGATGAAGTGAGCTATAGCTCACAAAAGCTTATGCTCAAATAAATTGGTTAGTCTGTAAGGTGCCACAAGTAGATCCTGGAAGGAAGTTTCAGAGGTACTCAGTACAACCCAGCAGTTTAGTGTCTAGGCATGCAGTTTTCCTACCAAGTCTCAGTTTCTTACATCGTCATCTAGAGTCTCGTCATCCAGTTCCTCCAATTGTGCCTGGTTGTACCTGAATTGTATTCGATTCAAAACCTCTGTGAGCAGTAGAACCAAAGCGTCTTCGTACCTGCCACAAGAAAAAGCACAAGACTGAGGAAAGGGAATTCTAGCAGAATACTCTTGCGAACCCTCACCCCCTTCCAGTGAGGAGCAGTGGTAGGTCCTGTATCAGCTTAGGGCAAACTTTTGCATCTCAGGACCTACAACGCTGCCTTACAGACTTGTTTGCTGGGGAGAAACCAGACAGCCACAGCAGTGTTAAATTGTAAACAGGTTTTCTAAACGGAAATATGTGCCATAGGACGATGCAGAGAAACTGCACTAAGAACCAGTAACCCACTCAACTTTGAAAGCTAGACAGGAAACTAACAGCAATAGAGGGAGCTGAAGAGAAAGAAGATCTGTAAGACAGCGAAGCACGACAGGACAGGCTTTAAATGAATGGTCTCCTTTTGAAAGGACTTGCTACTAATTGTGTGGCTCCTGCTTGCTAGTAGCCATTTAACTGTGCCTCTTTCAAGGAGTGGACAGTGCTTTTAAATCATAGAAGATTAGCGCTGGAAGAGACCTCAGGAGGTTATCTAGTCCAACCCCCTGCTCAAAGCAGGACCAACACCAACTAAATCATCCCAGGCAAGGTTTTGTCAAGCCGGGTCTTAAAAACCTCTAACAATGGAGATTCTACCACCTCCCTACGTAGCCCATTCCAGTGCTTCACCACCCTCCTAGTGAAATATCGAATATCCAGTGTAGGTCTAATATCCAACGTAGACCTGCAGAGATGGGTTATAACCAATGATCAAGTTCTGCTTCTTGTTACTAAAAAGCCAAGCAGAGATGCCAACCACAGTTATCAAAATCCTATAATACAGATAGGCAACCAATTAAATAAACTTCAAAACTGCAACACCACTTGCTCTGACTACATTATTCTGATTAACCTTTGTCCAAGGGAGAGAACAACTTGTATAAACGGGTGGGGTGGGAAAACCAATCCTCAAGTCTTAGCTATACAGCAAAGGTTCAGATCATTAGAAGGATTGTGGGCCAGGTAGTAACGGTTTAAACTAGAAGGTCATCCCCAGAGTACTTATGTCTTCCAGTGCCTTCACATGGTTTAGGCTAAGATTTTCAAACCCGTAAGTGCCTATCTTTACGCATCTAAATAAGTGGCCTGATTTTCTTAAGTGCTTAGTGCCTTGTAGCTCCCACTGATGTTGGACTTGTTTTGCTGTTTTGAAGTTGACCAGTTATTGTCATGATAATTCTTTCACCCCTACTATAGCACTACTGCCAGCAACAGATTTGATTTACTCTCAAGGTATTTGCAATGTAGCATACAAAAGTCAAAAGAGTTTTTTCCCCACACAATCAACCATGAGTAATGCCAAATTGCAAAATCAACACAGAACAGCCCCGGGCTTGAACACAGCCAGCAGCCACCAGCAGGGACACAGGACTGTCAAGTTGCTCTGGAGACCCAACGTTTCCTACCATCCTTTTAGAAAACAACTGCTTTGAAGAATGTCTCAGGTCATGTCTTTCTCCATGAAAGAGCAGGCTGGAAAGCTAGGAATTTCTCTATACTAGTAACAAGAAGAATCAGAGCATAGTGCAATATAAGGGACAGTCCAGCCAACTGTGCCCCTAACGGAGCAGCCAGATGTTTTCACTGAAGGATTACTATACTACTCGCGTGTTACTGAAAAAAATGATGTTAAGTTGGATTTGGTAATTTGTATGTTATGCTACTGGATAAAATGTAAAATTCATAAACCACAGGGAACAGGAAGTTTCACATGCTGTTCCTGTGGTGTAACCACACCTACATCATCAAATTAAGACACAAACACTTCTACAACAGTCTGCCTATTTGATAGAGCCATAGAAGCTTTAGCTAAAAACAGGCGCCTTTGCAGAAAGAGCAATACAAGTTTAGGCAGCTCATAGCATTTCTGATCATCAAAGAAAGATACTCTATCTCCAACAAAAAAAGCTAATATTGTTCTGATTTTTTCCTATATCACAAAAAATGAATATATATAACTAGGCAAGGCATGTGACCATGATCACTGTGGGAAAAGAGGGAGAAGAGTGAAAATTCGGCATAATTGTGTGCAGCTTGGTGAACAGTTTATTGAGACTGGACTAGCAAGCTCTCACATCTGAACGCATCTGAAAAATCCAATAAAGCAACTCCCAGGGCTGAACAGACACGGGCTGGTTGGGTTAGCTAGCTTTGCACTTGTTCCTGTCTGAATGTCAGAATGTCTTTTTTGGCAACACATCAGTTATTTATATTTAGCATGCTCACTGGGAAAAGACTGTTACCTATCTTTTTGTAACGGTTGTTCTTCGAGATGTGTTATTCACATCCATTCCAATTAGGTGTGCATGCATCGCATGCATGGATGTCGGAAACTTTTTCCCTTAGCAGCTCCGATCGGGACGGCAGGGGAGTCCCTAGAGTGGCACCCTCATGGCAGTGTATATATTACCCTGCCGGCCTGACCCCACTTCAGTTCCTTCTTGCCGTTGACTCCGATGGAGGGGAAGGGGGAGGTGGGTATTATAATGGACATGAACACCACATCTCGAAGAACAAGTCACAAAAATGTAGGTAACCGTCTTTTCTTCTTCTTCGAGTGATTGTTCATGTCCATTCCAATTAGGTGACTTCCAAGCTTACCATTGGAGGAGGGTAGGAGTCATGGAACGATTGACTGAAGAACAGCTCTGCCGACTGCCGCATCATCTCTGGCCTGTTGGTTAACAGCATAGTGGGCTGTAAACATGTGCACTGAAGACCAGGTGGCTGCTTTACAAATCTCATGGATAGGGACCTGAGCCAGAAAGGCTGTCGAAAATGCTTGTGCTCTGGTTGAATGGGCTGTAATTGCTGAGGCTGGGACCTTGGCCAACTCATAGCACATGCAAATGCAGTCTGCGATCCAGGACGATATGCACTGCACAGAGACAGGAAGACCCTTTATTCTGTCAGCTATGGCAATGAACAATTGGGTCGACTTGCAGAAAGGTTTTGTTCGCTCTATGTAGAACACCAGGGCCCTCTGGATATCCAGTGTGTGTAGGCTGTGGTGTCTCGGACTCTTGTGGGGTTTTGGAAAGAACACCAGTAAGCAAATGTCCTGACCCATGTGGAATTAGAAGACCACCTTGGGGAGAAATTTAGGATGTGGTCTAAGCTGCACATTGTCCCCATGAAACACTGTGTAAGGTGGTTCAGTGGTGAGGGCTCTCAGCTTGGACACCCTCCTTGCCAATGTAATGGCCATCAGGAACACCACCTTCCAAGAAAGGTAGAGGAGGGAGCAAGTGACCAGGGGCTCAAATGGTGGGCTCATGAGTTTGGAGAGGACAAAGTTTAGTTTCCAGGTTGGGATAGGTGGGCAAGAAATACGGGAACAACCTCTCCAGACCTTTGAGGAATCGCCCCACCATGGGATTAAAAAATACCGAGCACCCAGACTCCCCTGGTTGGAAAGGTGAAATGGCTGCCAGGTGTACTCTGATGGAGGAAGGGGATAGATCCGGATGCTTAAGGTATAGGAGATATTCTAGAATAACTGGGATGGTAGCCTGGAGTGGCTGAAGATGCTTTGGTTCATACCAACAGGAAAACCTTTTCCATTTCGCGAGGTAGGTAGCCCTAGTGGAAGGTTTCCTACTGCTGAGGAGAACCTGTCTCACCGACAAAGCACTGGCTCTCCATGGAATTTAGCAGCAGAGCTTTCACGCCATGAGATGCAGAGATTGCAGGTTCGGGTGAAGGAGGCGCCCATGGTCCTGCGTGATCAGATCTCAGTGGAGGGGCAGGGCAATCGGGGCGTCTACGGACAGCTCTAATAGGGTTGTATACCAATGCTGTTGGGGCCAAGACTGATTACCGTCGCCCTGTCTCTGCGAATTTTGAGGAGGACCCGGTGGACAAGCGGGATAGGAGGGAAGGCATACCCCGCCCCATGGTATTAACCCCACTTCTGGGAGACTGACTGTCTGATGTCCGACCTGATTGACGACTCGTGCATGTGGTAAGACCTGCTGAGGCAATCCGCAAGCTCGTTCTGCACTCCTGGAAGGTAGGATACTTCGAGCTGAATGGATCGGGCTATACAGAAGTCCCAGAGAAGAAGAGCCTCGCGGCAAAGAGATGAGGAGCGGGCTCCGCCTTGTTTGTTTATATAGAACATGGCAGTGGTGTTGTCTGTCAGGACTGTCATGCTGTGACCTTGTAATGTGGCGTGAAAGTTTGGCAGGCTAGACGAACCTGAGCTCCTTCAGGTTGATATGGAGAGGTATCTCGACCCTCGACCACAAGCCTGGTGTCCTCAGGTCCTCTATGTGTGTGCCCCAGCCCAGATCTGATGCGTCTGTTACGAACTTCAGAGAAGGTTGGGGCTTGGCGAAGGGGACCCCTGCACAGACCACTGGTTGATCCAGCCACCAGCGCAAGGATTGTAGCACTTGTGCCAGGATAGTCACCACGAGGTCCAGGGGGTCTCTGTACGGATGGTAAGACAGTGCGAGCCACGCTTGCAAGGGTCTGAGTGACAGTCGGGCATGCTTGACCACATATGTGCATGCTGCCATATGTCCTATTAGCTATAGGCAACACCTGACTATGGTAGTGGGATACCGAAGCACTGAATTTACAATCTGCTCTATGGCTTGGCATCTGGGCCCTGGAAGGCTCGCTTTTGCCTGTACCGAGTCCAGGACTACCCCTATAAACTCTAACCTTTGGGTGGGTATGAGAGAAGATTTGGGCACATTGAGGAGGAGCCCCAGTCTGCGAAACGTGTCCATGACCATCGTCACGTGGGGCTGGACCTCATCCCTGGAACGACCTGTGAGAAGCCAGTCGTCAGGGTACGGGTACACTCGAACCTGCCTTTTCTGCAGGAAGGCTGCCACCACCGACATGCATTTCGTGATGACTCGGGGGGCTGTGTGTCGAACAGGAGAACCGTGAACTGGTAGCGATGTTGGTTTATGACAAACCAGAGGAAGCGTCGGTGTGCTGGATGAATAGCGATATGAAAGTAT